CACCCTTACATAAAAAAACTACCCTTACATCGTGGCTGAACCCGGCCTTCTAATTTAATTATGCATCCGAAGGTATTTTTACTGTGCCGACTACTGAAAAATCGGTTTTTCGCGATTTACACCCCCACGGCCTTGTTCCGCTGTGTTTTTCTCATCTGGCATATCAGCTGTTTGAAATAAAAATTGTTTTCTTGTTTTGATTTCCTGGATAACGAAATAAAATTACACCCCTTGAATTTTTTTTTAAGAAATACAATTATTACGTCACACACATTTTCCAGAATTTTGATTTATTAATTTAGCCCTTTTTTTCAATTCATTTAATTTGTATTGTTGGTTCTTTAAATTGATTACTATTACATATTCCACTTCAAATATCTTTTGAGAATTTCATTTTCTTGATATAAATTTAGAAATTAGTAAATTTAGTATTTTAATCAAAAAATAAAATTTATTATGAAAAAATTTAAAACAAGTCCGGGGCAGGAAAGCCATATACTTGGGTAAAATTGGGTAAAGTTAAAAAAATCCTTATTCAGTAGCATGCTTATCAAAATATTTCAGATGAAACCATCAAGAAAATCTCAATCTTCACTAAAAAGTAAAATTAAAAAAATTGGAAAATAGAAAATTCAAACCAGACCAGACTGCTACAAATTGATAATTTTACTTAGAAGTTTATGAAAAAAAATAATTAGCACACAGGTATGGGTTGCTCTGGGTGATGCCAACCTGTATTAATACGTCGATTAAGAATTAAAAATTAAATTGAATAAAATATATTCTTTTATTTTGAAGCTCATTTGAGTACAACTTCAACTTAACTTAGAGAAGTTTACGAAGCAATTTTCAATGTGGTGCACGACAAAATAAAGTTAAAGTCTTTCACTTCTTTTTCGAATAGTCGTCACTAATACTAAGGACGCGATTTTTGCACTCGGCCAGGTGGTACTGGGTGCCTTTACTGACCGCATAGCAAACACACTCTGGAATCACTTTCGTCGTAGCACTGTTGTTGCTCGGAACTATTGCTACAGAATTGAATAATGTAAAGAAAAGATGTAATGCATATTTTTAATTATTAGAAATTTTCTTTAAATCTTCATTTCAATTGAATTATTATTAAGAATAAAATCTAGCAATGAAAATGACAGGCCGGAAAGATAATGCACATAGTCAACCCCGTAAAGTTGAAAAATAAAATTCTTGTTACTTTTCGCAATTTTATAAGACACAGTCTTCTTCAAAATTTTCTATTTTAAATTATTTTATGGGAAGTTTGGAAATTTTCAAGTCAATCAAAATTCAAAGTTGGATAATCACTTTGAAGCGGCCAACGATTTGTGGAAATTTTTTTAATATCAATAATTAATTGTTAATTAAATATTTAATTCTATAATTTTTTTAAAAATAAAAAAACGATATTCAGGTGTCATCGGCACCTTAAAAATACCTTCCGCTGAATAATTAAATTAGAAGGCCGGGTTCAGCCGCGATGTAAGGGTTGTTTTTTCATGTAAGGGTGTCAGGGGTGTCGAACGGGGTGGGTTAGAAAGCGGCTGAACCCGGCCGTGGGGGTGTAAATCGCGAAAAACCGATTTTTCACTGTGGTCGGCACCATAAAAATACCTTCGGGTGTATAATTAAATTAGAAGGCCGGGTTCAGCCGCGATGTAAGGGTTGTTTTTTTATGTAAGGGTGTCAGGGGTGTCAAACGGGGTGAGTTAGAAAGCGGCTGAACCCGGCCGTGGGGGTGTAAATCGCGAAAAACTGATATTCAGGTAACTTCGGCACCATAAAAATACCTTCGGGTGAATAATTAAATTAGAAGGCCGGGTTCAGCCGCGATGTAAGGGTTGATTTTTTATGTAAGGGTGTCAGGGGTGTCGAACGGGGTGGGTTAGAAAGCGGCTGAACCCAGCCGTGGGGGTGTAAATCGAGAAAAACCGATTTTTCACTGTAGTCGGCACCATAAAAATACCTTCGGGTGAATAATTAAATTAGAAGGCCGGGTTCAGCCGCGATGTAAGGGTTGATTTTTTATGTAAGGGTATCAAGGGTGTCGAATGGGGTGGGTTAGAAAGCGGCTGAAGCCGGCCGTGGGGGTGTAAATCGCGAAAAACCGATTTTTCACTGTGGTCGGCACCATAAAAATACCTTCGGGTGTATAATTAAATTAGAAGGCCGGGTTCAGCCGCGATGTAAGGGTGGTTTTTTTATGTAAGGGTGTCAAGGGTGTAATTTGGGGTGGGTTAGAAAGCGGCTGAACCCGGCCGTGAGGGTGTAAATCGCGAAAAATCCATATTTTATGTACTTCTAGAGATCTAATGCATAACGGGTTACTTATACTAGCCAAATGCATCCCCTAGAACGCAATCAGCATTCTTTTATAACCCTTTTTTAAGATAAAAAAAGTTGGCGATATCGCCAACTTCTCCACTTTTAAAAAAATGCCAAAAACTGTTGGCGATATCGCCAACTTCACTAACGTGCCGAGGACACAGGTCAAAAGGGCCAAAAGGGGTCCAGGTTTTCTCTCGAACATTGAAAAACTTCGCCAGAGAACCAAGATCATGAATAAATGTTTTGAATAAAATAATTCCAGAAATATCGCGGCATTTAAAATGAGAATATATTGTATTAAAATATGCACATTACAGGATTTGAAATTCCCCAGAAGGGACAGAAAACTTACTTGGAACTCGAGCCGTGTCGATGATCGCGATTGAGAAGCGAAGAGCGAATGCCGAGAGCCTTTCCAAGCCACTTGCTTTTGTTTGGGCCAATTGATAAAAACTCTCTTGGTTTGAATCACGTGGTCGCGCCGAAATAGTTAATTCCCTTCAGCATCACTTGAATTATGAATTCCCCCTTTTTTAATCCACGAATTAATTTCTTATGAATTTTTATTGAATTTTTAAAAAGTTCTAAATTTGTGCACAAAATTTTGGAGAACAAATAAAGTGGACACCAAAGGGCAAAGCGGGAATGTCCTCGTTGAATAAAATTAGTTTTATTCAAAAACGAAAACGATTCTTCCATTTTCATCCAGGATCTGTGAAATTATTTATTTTCCTGGCATTTTTCTAATCAAAAATTGATCTATCTTGTTGAAATAATTCCAGGAAATAAGGATAATTATAATTCCTTGAAAAAATTTGAGCTTCAAGAAAGAATCATTTAGACTAATTGTCAATTAAGGGAAAATTTTCTTAATGCCATTTTACTTGAAATTGAGGAAATTTTCAAAACGAGCCAGGAAAATTTTCACTTATTTCATAGTTGTAAGACACGAATTGTTTTTTCTGCAAGGCAAATTCAGTTCTTTCGAGACAAATTTCTGAATAAAATTTAGCAAATTGATTAAACAATGTAGAAAAATTTTTCTTGGCCTTGTATATTTTGCTTTTATAGATTTGCCAATAGTTTGAAAATTACTGTTTAATTTTATTATAATTAAAGAAAAAACGCAAGACTGGACAAAAAAGATGTGGAAAGAAAAATTGTGGACCATAATTAAACCAACTTGGACGCTTGATTCGCTAAATTGAATTAAAATTTAAAATCATAAATTTTATCAATTGCAAAATTTGTCTTTCAAACTGAAATGTTTAAAATAAAATAACAAAATATTCAATTGACTAGGTTTCAGTGATCAAAAATTATTATTAAATGAAAGTGCTCTAGTTAAAATATTTCTTTAGCTCCAAGATTTTGATTTGAGGGGCGGTTGTGGAGGAAAATCGGCAGAGATTGCGGGACTTTCCAGCTTTAGATTGATAAACCCTCACAACAGCATCCGGCGGCTCAGATTAGAAGCTCATATTTCAGATCGCGCCGAAATCGAGCGAGGCAATTTATTTGCTGCTAATTGTAAGCTAAATTAACATTTTTATCATTTTAAGACCAGAAATAAAATATCTTAAAATCAACGACCGATTTTACTTCCGTAAAATTCTTTTTTGCATAAAAATGCACGCATGTAAAAATGAAATATTTCTTAATATTTTTTTTGCCTTTGCCTATCAAGTATCAAATGAGATTAAAACGTGCTGAGAAGCTCAACAGTTCCTTTGCTGCCTTAATTAAACATTTTCAATTTAAAATTTGCCCCTTTTTTATATTTCTGTCGCTTTTGCGGCTTAATTATTATTATTATTGTTGTTGTTTATTCTTCACAAAACAGTCAAATTAGAAGAAAATTTCAAAATGTGAAGAAACGGCAACACAATTTGCTAAAACGCGGGGCCTCAAGAGAGGTCCGCGCCGAGATGGGCCGCGAGCTGATTAATTAAAAAAATCAAGTCTTTTTGAGTTACCATAATTTTCAATTACATCAAAATTTGTGCGTGCAAAAGGCAAAATTTTTTTAATCAAATTATCGTTAATAAAAGTTGCTGCCGGGTTGTTGAGGAAAATCGGCAGATTGTGCGGGTTTCGTCAGTTGGCAGGGGGCATCGTTGATAAACTTTGACCTTCGCAGCATCCGCCGTCTATCAAGGGAGCCTGATATTCTTGAGTATTTTTAATTTTTTACTTTTAATTGTGTAAATCGCAGATATAAATGAGTTAATTTACACGTTTTCATTAATTAAAACCACTTTCAAGCTGTGTTAATTGCGATTGAGCTCAAAATTAATTAAATGTAGTCCAGAAAGAGGACAAATTATTTGAAAAAGTCGATTTTATTGTCATTTTGTGATTTTAGCGCGCGTTGATTCAGAGCAATTAATTGCGATTAATTAATTATGCAAATTCATCTCAAGGAGAGAAATTTAAGCCACGTCCCGAGCGAATATCTCAACGCGCGCTTATCACGTGGGCATCAAATATTTTATGTTTCACATTGAATTGTTTTCATAAATGGAAATCTTAAATTAATATTTAGATTTTGTTTCTCGATATTCACGATCATATAATTATAATTATTGTGAAAAAAAAATAATAATTTGAGCTCAAATATTTATGAGTTTAAAGAAATAAATATGGTTAATAATTACTGCATGATGAAGTCCATGACTCTGACGAATTTTTTCCACGAGGGTGTGGGGCAGATTCGCCAAAGGAAGGCCTCGGAGCCGATTTCGAGGTTGATCGTGGTGAGCAGCGCGTGCACGGCGTCGATCATTTTCTGCGGCTCCGAGTCGGCGCCAAGTTCCTCGCCCAGGCACCCGAGCCGCGCGTCCAACGCGATCACCGCGATTGCTGAATCCAAAGTCAAAGCAATTAGGCTTGCACTGAGAAAAATGTTGACTGAAATGCATTCCCCTTTAAGAAATTAAGAAGCCCAAACTAACTTCATCGGAATGATATATGAACTTGGTTGGGTGAAATTTATTATTCAATTAAAAAAATTGTACTACACTGAGAAATATGTTTGCTGAAAAATGATCCAAATTTATTGGGATGAATTGGCTTGATGACATTAGTGTCATTTTTTGGGAGAAAATTTAGAAATTTCCCATATAAAAAAAACAATTAATAATTTCTAAATTTTCCATACGATTTATATTTTTGTTTTTAGATCATCACCAAAATTATTCGGACTTTCCTTTTTTTTTACATATATTTAAAAAAAATTATTTACATTCCAAGGCCCACTTGTGCAACTCATTTTTTAAGTCATTATTATTATTATTTTTATTCTTCTCGGTCTGTACAAAAATTTTTAAATTTGAGAAAAAAGAGAAGAAAGGGTTTACAACTAGCAGATGTCTGCTAAAACGCCCGACATCAAAAGAGACACGGCCGCCGCGGTAAACCCACACTATCGAAAAAAAAGAACGATATCACAAACACTTTAAAAGTCTTCGGGCATTTTGCTCTTTTCATTCGCAGCGATCCAGCCTGGAAAAAACAATTAATCGTCTCGAAATTTAATATTGAAAAAAAATTTGGTACTTTTTGACAAAGTCCTCGGCCACCTGGTCGATTTTGGGCGCGTACATTTCCACGACTTTTGGCTGCATGAAGATGGGGTTGACAAAGTGGCGCGCCTCTCGTCACGCCTCCCCCTGGCTGCCAAATCATTTTAATCATTTTTTTTGTTATTTTATTTTTATTTTTCTTTCTTTTACTCGACGAAAATGCCGCCGACCCCTTTGAAGAAGTCCTTGCGCGTGTGTTGTCGGTAGTACTCGAAGCACTTGACGGCAGGTCGGAAGGGCGCGGCCGAGTCGCTCCTGAAAACCGTCTCGACGTCCCTCGGATCGAAAACGAAAACCAGGTCCTTGTTCGGCTCGGCTCAAGCCCTGAAAATCTCGCGGTCGGCCCGAATTCGTCGCGGATTTGCGCGAACATTTTCAACAAATCCCCAAACTCGTATTTCTCTGCAAGAAAATATTATTTTTTCTTCTCAAATCCACAGTTTTTATTGAAATTTCTCAATTATCATTGAACATTTCAGGATAATGTTTGATAAAAAGGCTTATTTTAGTTTTGCCCCGCAGATAAGCAGCAAAAAGATAATTCCTCTGCGTGACATAATTAATCTTAGGAGCGGTAATTTTTTGATAAGGGAAGCAATAAATAGTGACAATTTGAAAGACTTTTTATGTCTTGAGAGTTAATATCAATGCGAAAATTATATTGAAAAAACTAAATAGTATTTGATGCCTTCAAAAAATTAATAAGTAATAAGTCGCGCTTTCAATCAAAAACTTCAATCCTCAATTTCTATTGAAAAAAAATTGTAAACATTGTAAAAAAACTGTATTAATAAAAAATTAGCGCATCATCCAAAGTTTGTATGATATTTTATTTATAAAAAGAGGTCAGAAAATTAAAAAAAATTGCTAAAATTGATAAATATTTCTATTTAAAATTTAAATTTAGTTTCTTTTCATTCACCTTCTGTGAGATTTAAAAATTAGAGGTTGTTTCCGCTTGCTTATTAAAAAATGAAACAAAAAATGATTGAACATAAAATTATACTGTCGGAATCCTAGGAAGAATCGGAATCGGAATTTGTTTCCCAACACGGGAATGGGTTTTGGTCCGGGAATTTCTTCGTAAGGTCGCACATCGTGGCTAGCTGAAGTCAGGGCGAATCGACCCTTGCGAAGGGTGGGCCTCTTCGTCAACACGCCCAACCTCATCATTTTTTGGTTGCTGCGAGTCCACGGAGACCAAAGAAACGAAATCTCTTCGCGCATGACAATGAATGAAATGATTTGCAATTATTCTCAAGGTCTGCGCGTCAAATTCACTACTCAGAGAGAAAAAGATAAAAAAATTCGAACAACTTGAATTCTTCAAACTAACCATTAAATAAATATCATATTTTCAAATTAATATTGAACGCTCCAATTTCTAACAAAATTAAATAAAAACAATTTAATAAATAAAAAATAATATAATATTTTTTTTCATTATTGTCTTTCCAATTTTTAGCATACAATTCAGATTCCGATTTTATTTAAAAAGTTTAAAAACCAAAAACATAAATTTATAATAGTTTCACAATTTATTCAGATTAACAAAAAAAATTGCCCGAAAATTTTTATTTAATATTTTTTTCTTCCAAATTTCCACTAAATCATCTTCGAAGAAAGATGATTTTTTAAAAAAAAAATTTAAAACGAAACAAAAACAGAAATTTACGGAAATTTAAGAGTAAATTATAAAACAAATGAGTGTCGATTTTTCGTTTGGCGCTGAAAAAGTCGCAGAGGTGCTGCCGCCACCGGTCGATTTTACAACAACTCATACCAACAAACAAACATGTAAATCAACAGGCGCCTTTCAAAACATCATTATTTTAAATTTAATTTGCAACTTTTAAAGTTGAAACGTCTCGATTTTGAGATAATCTCGTCCTTAAACCATGTTTTGCTGAAGAAGTCGAAGCAAAAATGGAGAAGTACGAGGTGCTGAGCATCGCCGGCGAAGGTTCTTTTGGCCGAGTGTACAAGGCCAAGCGTCGGGACACGCAGGAGGTCGTCGCCTTCAAAGTCATTCCAAAGGTACATGATTTATCAATTAGAAAGGAAAACAAAAATCTTGAAGTAAAGGAAATAAAACTTCAATTAAAACAAACTTTACTAATTTTTGACAAACTTTTATTCAGATCGGACGGTCGTTGAAAGAGTTGGACAGTTTTCGGCAGGAATGCGAAGTGCAGCGTCACCTGAACCACCCCAACATCATCCAGATGCTCGACTCCTTCGAAACCGAGCACGACGTAAACAAATGAAGAAAATTTTTACTCTTTTGCTAATGAAAAGGAAATTTCAGATCGTGGTCGTTTCCGAGTTTGCGGACAAGCAGCTGTACGCGATTCTGGGCAAGGAGGGTTACCTGCCCGAGGACAGGGTGCGCAAGATCACGTGCGACCTGGTGTCGGCCCTTTTCTACCTGCACTCCAACAGGGTGCTGCACCGAGACCTGAAGCCGCAGAACGTCCTGCTCGACGCCGCCAACACGGCCAAGCTGTGCGACTTTGGCTTTGCCAGGCACATGGGCAAGGGCACCATGCTGCTGACCTCCATCAAGGGCACGCCCCTCTACATGGCGCCCGAACTCATCAAGGAGAGTCCCTACGACCACAACGCTGACCTATGGTCAATTCAAAACAATTCATGCCTTTCAATTTTGTATTTTTTTTTTATTATTATTATAATTTTATGAGACCAAGTTTAATTTGACATTTTGTTTGTTTATTTAAATATTTAAAATTGATTTTCATTTAAAACTTAATAATATAGAATATTTATTCATTTTTTTTTATTATATATCTAATTTTATTTCAATCTTTTTATTTCAAAATTTTATTTAAATATTTTGATTTAAGATTGACTAAAATTTATTTTTAAATGAATTAAGACAATTCTTTTTATTTTTGTTTAGGATTTTAAAATTAAATTTCTTTAAATGTGTAGGTCGCTGGGGTGCATAGTTTATGAGCTTCTGGTGGGAATTCCACCCTTCAAGAGCTCCTCTGTTCTTCACCTAGTTCGACTCATCCACAACGAGCAAATCCGCTTTCCCGAGTACGTCTCTCAAGAGTGTGTCGCTTTTCTCCAGGTTGGAAAAAATTCAAATTGGTTGAGATAAACAAGAATCTTTAAAATATTTCAGGGCCTCTTGCAAAAAGACCCGAATGACAGACTCACCTGGCCGGATCTTCTGCACCACCCCTTTTTAAAAGGCAACGTTGTCATCCAACAAGACTTAGGTTTTATATTTCAGCAAAAAAACCTATTAGCAGATTATTTATTGGAATTTTTATTGCAGCTGCTTCGTTGCCACCTCTGACGGAGCCTCTCTCCAACTCGCAGCAGAAAGTCAAGGAAACCCAACGCCAAATTTTACTCGACAAACACCCCAGAAATGCAAAGTAATAATTTATTGAATGTAAAATTCAAAAGATTATTACTTAAAAAAAATATGAAATAACTACAAATTAGTTGAATTAATCTATTTAAATTCGTAAACCAGAAATTTTGATATTTTCCCCCAAAATTCAAATTTCAAAACATATCTTTTTGTACAGACTGGTGAGCAAACTGGAGGAGCAGCTGAAGCAGAAACTGTCCTTGGATGAAAAGGACGAGGAGGAGGAGGAAGAGGTTCGGAGCGCCACGCCCACCCCTGAGGAACCCCCACCCTCGGCCAGCAGCAAGGATAGGAAGGGGGAAGGGGAGGAGGAGGACGAGGTGCAGAACTTTGAGTGGCAGGACTATCTGCAGCGCAGCATGGAGGAGGTCATCGGCGGCGACCTGTCCTGTCTGCTGCGGCCGCCGCTGGTCAGGGTGGCCACGGCGCCCCTGCTGCGCCGCACGGCCTCTGCCAGGGTGCTCGACTCGGTGGCGTGTCTGCTCATGCTGCCCCTTGTTTGCGCCGACCTCAAGCCAAAGGTAACAGAACAGAAATCAGTATTTAACGAAGCAAATGCTTAACTTTACCCAGGCTAACTTAATCTAGCCTCGGCTTAACTTAACAAACCAGCCTAATTGAAAAGTGAGTTAAATCAGCCCATCCTGGGTCAGGCTAACTTAGCATAGCCCAGACTAAATTAACTCATCAGCCAACTTCAATGTTGGGTTAAATTAGCCTGAGTCAGGCAAACTTAGACCGGGCCAGGTTAGGCTAACTTAAACTCACTCGGACTAATTTAGCCCACCAGCCAAATTGAGTGCCTGGTTAAATTAGCCTGGCCCTAAGGATATTTCTTTTGATCATCGAGGGCAACTCTGAGACCTAACTTACCCTGGCCCGGGTTAATTTAAATCATCATTAAATTAAGCTGTTGGATAAATTAAGCCTGGACTAAGCTAGGCATTTTAATTGCCCAAATTGGAAAGTAATTTTTAAATTATCAATCTTATAAGTAACATTTCAATTAAATTTCTGTCTCTCAGGTCAGCACCCTGCTCGAGGCCCTGGCCGAGTCCAACGTGGTCGACCAGCTCGTCCAAGGGCTGTGGAGTTTGCTGGCCGAGAAAAACTCGGACCTGCACGCCTTCGAGCTGGTCAAGTCGAAGCGGCTGGGCCCTGAAAGGTTGCAGGCGGTGGAGCACGTGGTGCTGCTGCTGAGCCACCTGGTGCACCGGCAGCCCTACCCAAAGGTCGAGATCTTCCTGTGCCAGTGGTGCAACGCCGTCAGGAGCCGCGGCCCCTCCTTCGCCCTCCTCACCAGACACCTGCTCACCCTCAGCAAGCGCAGGCCCAAAATCGTGGCCGACACCCTGGCCATCTTCAACCACGTCCTCAGGGCGCTGCCCTCGCAGGCCGTGCTGGTCCTCGAGGCCCTCGTCGGCAACTCGGCCACAAAAGCCAGAGGTTTGGACAATTTCAAATGTTTAAAATGTTTTTAATTAAAAGAAAATCTCAGGCAAGAAGCCGATCGACCCTGGCAAGTTCCTGGACAACCCCAACGCCATGCTCAGACTCAACACCCTGACCCTGATGCAGTACCTGAGCGCCAAATTCGGCACTGGTCTGTTCGAGTTCTGGGACGCCAATGTGAAGCAAAAGGTGGCCAAAATCGCCAAGGAGGAAAAGGATCTCAAAACTAAAGAAGTAAAATCTTTAGAAATTCCGATTCAATTTGTAAATAAATTAAATTTTCAGGTCGCCGTCCGGACTTTGGAGGTGATTGAGAAGGTGGAAAGCCTGTGATGAAAGAAAGTGCAATAAATTGAACAATTTCATAATAACAAAGATTTATTTACTCAACAACTATAACAATAATTGGAATGCATTACATTTCTAGAGAGTCTCGAAGTTTCTTCAGTAAAATTGAACATCGTTTTGTGTACAAAGCTGTGCGATCCAAGGTTAAAAAGTGCAAAGACTAGGGTACTGAAATGGCAGGAAGTTGTGCGTTGATGCAGTTGAGCCACAGGTTGGCGCACGCTGCGTGGTAGCTGTTGGCGCCTGACCTGACCAGAGCCAGCGACCCGACCCCTCCGACCTCCACCTGCGCGAGGCACAGCGAGCAGCCGTTCGTCTTTTCGCTCGCAAAGTTCCAGTGCGGGTCCTTCACCTGAAAATTGAAAATTTTCATTAGTTTAGAAAAACATAAAATAACAATTGGAAAAAAAGTTGGCACTAAAAGCACTTTGACCTCAAACCGACCAAATTCTCTAATAAATCAGATAATAAAATGGCAACTAAAGGCAGGATGAATCCAAATTATGTGGCCTTACCTTGCACAATTTGTCACTCGCTCAGTGCAAAAGTACAAAGAAACGCAAAAGAGGAAAAGTACAGGGTCAAAAATACTGAATTATTTAATTAACTAAGAAATAAGATGAATTTCTTATGAAGACGCGCAAAAACTGCAGATGGAAATATAGCAGTCTTCAGGAGTCGCTAAATTGGTCTGGAAAAATTGTTTAGAATTTTGTACCTCCAGTAAAAAAAAAAAATAAAACACTAGACAGTTTTTTGAGAAAAAAAATATATTTATAATTAAGAACTTTTTGAATTTATGGGTTGGAAAAATTATTGACCCAGGTTGTATTTAGAACTGCAGTTTCCGCACGTCTTCTCATAAAATTCATCACAACAATTACATTTGGCACACTGCGAATCAAATTTGTACTGAAACGAACATTTCTCGGCTGAACACAATTAATTCTCTAATAGTGGAACACGATGCTTACTTCGAGCGAGCTTTGTTCCAGGAAAGGTCTCAGGGTGTTCCAGACGGCGTCCACCTCGCCCAGGAGCGGCTCCAGGGCGTGCCTGGACGAGGGCAGCAGTTTTCGGGAGGCGGCGTTGATTCGCTGAGTGACGCAGTAAACTTCCAGCAAATCTGAATCAAAAACATAATTTAGTTTGGAAAGACGTGGAATCGGATTTGCTTACTGGCCAGGTAGTCCTCGCCTTGTTTGGAGGTCACGACCTCTTCGACCACGCTCGGGTCGTCGATGGCCAGGAAAATCTGCGCCGCGGCCTGCAGCAAACTGGTGCAGCTGTGCAGACACTGCTTCCACTCTGCTCCCTCGTCCTGAATCCAATCATTTCAATTATTGTGAAAAATTAAAATAAAACACCACTTTAGTAAAGGGTCAACTGATTTGGATAAAATTTGGCATGAATTTGAAAATTTAGGAAAAAAAATAAAATTCCGACTTTTTAAAAGTAGATTTTGAAAATCGATAATATCTCAACTCCTTAGATAAGCTTAAATTTATTATGGCAAAAGTTGTTCGAAATGAGAGGACCTACAACTTTGCTACAGTGCCCAAGGTCGCAGGTCAAAGTTCAAGGTCACTTTTGCCAACATGAATTTTTAAATTTAATTCTGAAGTATCCATTAAATAAATATTTGAAGTTTCAAAATATCCAGAAGAACATTTTAAAAATTACTGACAATATTTCTGTCCGTTTTTAAGTTATTCAGGGTCAAAGGTAAAAAGACATAACTTTTTTTAGCGTTTATGACTTTTAATCCTAAATAACGTTTACCGTGTTGGAGCTAACACAAAATTCCGGTTACCAAAATTTTTCTGCTGATTGCTGATATCCTCTTTCTAAATTTGTGTCTCACTTATTAAAAAAATTGAGAATGTCACAGGTCAACAAGGTCAATGACCTTTTGTGACCCGGTCACCATGTGTGATACATGATTTTAAAGTGCTTGGCAAGGTGATCATTTCGTGTGATTCTCTAACACGAAAATACTTATTGACGTTAAAAGTAAATTTATGCAAAAAAAAAAACCTTCGACCCTGAATATCTTTAAAACTTTGAAAGACAATATCACAAGTTTTTTAAATAAATGTTTTTCCCTATGAACATACGCAACTTTTGGCTATTTCGAAACATTTATGTACTAGATACTTCAGCAGAAAATTTTGAACTTAATGTTGGCAAAAGTGACCTTGAACTTTGACCTGCGACCTTGGACACTGTAGCAAAGTTGTGGGTCGTCTCAATTCCAACAACTTTGTTGCCATACTTGTTAGCGTATCTCTAACAGAAAACGAAATATTTTCAATTTTCAAAATCTCCTTTATAAATAATGCCCAAATTTGAGCCCCTGTAAAGTAAGCAATTATGAGAATCTTTTGATGCAAGTCAAAAGTGGGTGAAAACAAAATAAATAAATCAGTTCTTGATGTACCTGTTGGGCGTTTGGCTGAGATTCCCAGGAGAGGTCAGGTGCGATTTTGAGGTCGAGCAGGGCAGGCGAGGAGGAGGGGCCGGCGCCTCCGAAGGACAGCGAGTCGAAGCCTCCCAGCTCGAGACTGGCCACGGACTGCGCGTCGGCAGGAATGTCCTTCATCTTAGGAGTCGGAGGGAGGGAGCTCGAAGGCCCCACAAAGTCCCCAAAGTCGTCCTCCTCGGCGGAAGGGTCAAGCACAGGGTCCGAGCGCCAGAACTCCTCGTCGATGACCGAAGACTTTTCGGTGAAAGCTTCGAACGACGCGTTCCAGTCCTTGGCCGAATTCTGCTCAGGAGAAAATCCAAAATCTGCAAGATTTGGCGCCGCGGACTGGTTCGGAGGTGGCGCCAAGGACACGTCCGCGGAGAGGAAGTCGCCAAAGTCCTCTTGAGATGCTGCCGGAGGTGCAGGGGGGTCCAGAGAGAGGCCGCCAAAGTCCAGATCTCGAAGGGCGCTGTACTTGTCGTCCTCCTGCAAACCATCATAAATAATTTTAAATTTACATCGAAATAAGATTAAAACTTTTGCACCTTTTTGTTGTGTGGTGCCGCTTGGAAAGGTTCGAATTTGCTCTCGTCCGGCTCAGACCTGATGGCCGTGTCCTTGAGGAAGGGCGGCGCGTCGTCAGGTTGCTTGTCCTTGAGGACGCACTTGGGGAAGAGGTCGTCGGCCTTGAAGACGTCCTCCTCGTTGTCCGTCTCGCTCTTGCGCGAGCCCGACGAACTCGAGGTGGCCGTGAAGGAATAGTTGGCCAACCTGCTGCCCACCTCGCGGCTGCCCTTGCCCTTGGGGGCGCAGAAGGCGGGCGAGGTGGGCGGCGACTCGAACGAGTTGAAGCCGACCGGACTGTCCCGAGGAGAGAGCGCCGAGCGCGGCTTGTGCACGGGACTCGGGTCGGCCAGCACGGAGGGGGGAGGCGCGGCCTGGAAGTCGGAGAAGTCGTCGTCCAGCAGCACTGCCGAGGACACTTGCTGCGAGATGGTCGGCACGACGTCCTGCTTCACTGCAGCCACCTTCGCAGCTGCAAAAAAAAAAAAATAACACAAAAATCAATTTTTAAAGTTAACACCAGTAAATGTTTTTAACCCTCATTTTTAAATTAGGTGAAACTTCATGACCAGCGTTGAAAACGCGATTAAAAAATTCGCACAATAAAGGGATTCTTTATCAAATTCATCAATTTTGAATGGATTAATATCAAATCTATTCAACTTGATTCAAATGTAATAAAAAGCCTCATTTTCAAATTTTTGATTAACCAGGATAGATCATTTTAAAACGCTATTTTAAAATCAATGGTATTTTTATATCAGCTTATTCAAAAACATTGAAAATTTCCAATTAAATGTAAATTGACATGGCAAATCTTTGGGCTATCTCAGATTTTTCAGGTTGCCTTTTTTTCAATTGTGGCTTCAAAGTTGGTCATAAAATTTGGTCTTGTTTCTCATTCGGGAATAAAACAAAATTACTGATGTTCATCCTTAATATGGAAAATTAATTAATTGCTACTAAAATTTATATATCGAGGGTCTTTAACATGGAATAGAGCAATTGACGATTTTGAATGAATTACTCGTGAAAATGTCTTGAAGTGGAGGTTGCGGCGCTGGCTGGACGGCCGGCTGCGGTTTGTTGAACGCTTCGAGTTGCAAAAGAGGGATGGGCGGTTGCTGGACGAGGGCGAGGACGGCGGTGGAGCCAAAGTCGCGCCAGCCGGTCTGCGCCAGGGCGACCAGCGCCAGGGCCACGTTCAGCTCGTGGCGGTCGAGCACGCCCGGGATTCTGGTGTTGGCCAAATTCCAGATGTAGCCGAGCGAGTCCCTGGGCAGGCCGCTCGTCACCAGCACCGCGAAGATCCTGCCCGTGTCCACCATCAGGTCCGAGGACTTGCTCAGGTCCCACACCTGGCGGTACACGGCGGGCAGCAGGTCGGCGGCTTCGGGCTGCAGCCACAGGGGCAGACTCGAGGAGGGAGGACTGCCAAAGCCAGCCATGCCCTGAGGGGAAAAAGTTCATTTAGACTTTTTTCTTTGGAAATTCTCGAGTTTTGGTTTCATCTCACCTCGGAGCTCATCTCGGGGGGAACGTGGATTTCCTTGGGGACTTGCTGCATCAATTTGTCTACCTACACATTCAGTGCACACACACGGAAGTAACAAAAAAAGAAGAAAATGAGCAAAACATTTAAATTAAATTAGTGCATTTAGAAAAGATGTTAAGAAATAAAATTTAAATTTTTTCAAGACTTGAAAAAAACGTGCAGACATAATTAATCATCGTAATTTTACCTGGAGTTGGACGGGACTTTGCTTTTCAGCGAGTTTCGCAGCCTGTGCTGAGGAAACCTGAGGCTTGATGGTGAAAGTTTCCTTTTTCTGCAGCAAATCGTCGATCAACGAATCCGCGCTCACTGGTTTCTTCTGAAATTGTCCGAGTTATAAAAAAGTTCTACTTTGCAGAGATTTTGGTATGTGACTGACCTTGGAGGAGGAGGCCATGGCCCTCAACTTCTGCTGCTGGGCCAGGTAGTTTCGGTCCTTGCTCGGGGGGTGCTGGGCGGCGGGGGGTTGCTGGTGCATCAGGCGAACGGGGGCAGCCACACTCGCGGACACCGAAGGCACCCCCAAGTTCATCATCGGAGGGGTCCAACCCTGAGCCAAGGGCTGCGCGCCGAAGGTGAAGGGCTCGGCACTGGCACCGTGGGGCCCGTGGGGCCGCGACCCTTGCGAAGGAAATCTGCCAAAGAAGAACCAAAATCACAAAACGCTTCGACTGAAAGCCAAAATCACACCTGTTGTCCATTGGCAGACGCGATTGGGTTGTCCGAGGGTGCGAAACGAAAGGGTGGAGATTTTAATTGTTATAAATCAGAGGCAACGTCGAAAAGAACCCAGGGAACGAAAACTTGGCAAAACATTCTTCGATCAGCTGGAGAGAGAAGACTTTAGCAAGAAGTTGAAAATGATAGGGCGGAAACGAGCTTCAAAAGAATTTCCACCAGAGGCGCTGCGGTCGCGTCCTATCTTTCCGTATCCAAGTCCGTATCTTTCCCATGTATTTTGAGGGGGGCGTGTCTGCGCCTTTCTAGCTTAAAAAGGTTCTGATTTCCACCACAGATGGCGGCGCACAGGCGCATCCGTGCGAGTGCCAAAAGGGGGTGGAGTTCATTTGCATTCATTCAGACTTCTTGACACTTCAACACAAGAATCTAACTTGTTGGCTCTTGTTTTTGCCAATATTTAGAAAATTAGAGTGAATTCAGACTGCGAAAGAAGCCCCTTCGAACGTCCGAACCCCCTCCCGTTTTCAAGGCTCGAGGCAGGGTTGGTTGCGTTGAATTTTCTTCGTTATCTCGCTGAAATTTGTACATGTTGTTAATCTTATCTCTGACTCGAGCAGATCCGATTGCGTGTGGCACGATGAGCGATTGATCTCAGAGATGTCGAGGAACCGCAAGGACGTGGACTGGGACCGCTTCGGTCTGGAGAGCCGCAACCCGCGCAGCCCGACGTCGACCGACGGCCGCGGCTCGTCGGTGCGCAGCTCGGACGACGGCGACTGGTACGGCGCCTACTCGGGACACAGACCGTCCGACGAACTCTTCGCCCAGGAAGAGGTACATACCCCTCTCGCCACGCTTATCTCTCGCACGTCACGACACAAGAATCGTCTTGCATAAAAACGCGCTTTCTTTCCTTGACAATGGCATTGCGCGGTTGATGGGTTTCAATTATTTGCAATACATAATTCGTTCGAAGAGCAGCAAAACTTGTTGTTGTAAAAACACTGAGGATTATTCAATCAGCTAGAAAATATTTTGAATCAATTATATTGAATTTTTTCATCCCGTATATATTTTCCATATATTCGTAATAATTTGAAGTTGTGATAATTTTGCAGAGCAACCAGCCATGGTGGAAGTCGCAGTTCTTCATTTCGCAGCCGGTGCTGTTCGGCACGTGGGACGGCGTCTTCACCTCGTGTCTGATCAACATCTTCGGCGTCATCGTGTTCCTGCGCTCAGGCTGGATGGTGGCCGAGGCGGGCATTGTCCAGGCCATCCTTATTGTCATCGTCACCGTGGCCATCGTGCTCGTGTCCGTCCTCTCGGCCGTCGGCATCTGCGAGCGGTGCCGCGTCGAGAGCGGCGGAGTTTATTTCCTCCTGGCCCACGTCCTCGGCTCTAGACTCGGCGGCGCCATCGGAATCCTCTACTGCTTCGGACAGGTCACATTTTTCAAAAATAATTCAATCGATTTCACCAATTAAATATTAACGAGGATGAAACCATGCCAGGTTGTCAGGCCAGAAAAATCGTAAAAATCATTCAGATCATTTTGATGATCAGAAATTATGCGAGATTATATTTTTTCCATGTTTCTTAGGAAATCTAGTCAATTGTTGGCCACTTTTACAATTTTTAATAATTTATTATTTTGTAAAAAGTCAAGTGATTAAAACTATTACATTGCGATTTTTTTCTAATTACATTTTGAAAGGCTTTTTTCTCGTTCTAAAAAGTAAAGGAAATTCCGTTTCAATTGAATTTGTGTCTAAAATTTCCATGTGTTTTGTTGCAGGCGGTGGGTTGCGCGCTGTACGTGACCGGTTTCGGCGAGTCTATGGCTCGGCTGGCCGGATTCGACTCGCCGTGGGCCGAGCGCGGGTTCGCCGGCGCCGCCGTGCTGGCGCTCGGGGTCATCAACGTGGCCGGGGTCAAGTGGGTGGTCAAGCTGCAGTTCCTGCTGCTGCTCATCCTGCTGATGGCCGGCCTCGACTTCGCCGTCGGCTCGTTTGTGCACACCGAGCCCTCGGTCGGCTTCGACGGCTGGCTCACCGGAAACCTCGCCAACAACACCTTCTCCGCCTACACCGAGGTCAGAGGTCACTCCAATCGTTAGCAGAGAAATTTTCACCAAATTTAAGTTATTTGGCAATTAATTTATTTTTTCAAATAATTTGTAATAAGAACGAAAATTTCCAAAGCTAATTATTAAAAATTTGATAGAAATTCTATTTTAAATTTTGCAGGGATTTATAACCTGCTTCCAAATTAAAATTAAGATCATTTTCAATTTAATTTCAATTTTTATTTTTAAAATTTCAAACAATTTTGGTTGAAATAGGGCTCGAGCTGGTTCACCGTGTTTGGCGTTTTCTTCCCCACCGTGACGGGGGTGATGGCGGGCATCAACATGAGCGGCGACCTGCGCCACCCCTCCACCGACATCCCCAACGGAACCCTCTCGGCCATCGGAACCAGGTTTGTTTCCCAAGCCTTGATAAGACGTTCCTTTTTTTAATTTCAAATTTTCGCAGCACTTTCCTCTACCTGATGTTTGTGTTCGTTTTGGGCGCCACTTGTCGCCGAGACGTCCTCCTCACCGACTTCATGATCGCCGCCAAAGTCTCCGCAATCAGTGAGACGAAACCAAATTAAATTCAACAAAATAATTATATTATTTTTAATTCAGGTGTGATGCTGTTGGCGGGTCTGTATGTGTCGTCAATGTCGAGCTGCCTGGCCGCCATGTACGGCACGCCCAGGGTTCTGCAGTCGATCGCCAACGAAAACGTCATTCCCGGGATCGCCATTCTGGGCAGAGGGGTGAGTTTAGATTCTCAGATTGCAGGCAATATCAAATTTCAAGCTTCCAACTTAGGAGAAATTGACTAAATAGAATTTTTAATGGTGTTATTTGTTTTAATTTGACACACTCTTGGCAAGGGTCAACCAAATTGAATGAAATTTGGCCCATCATTTCGTTTCATGGTCCAGAGTTTAGAAGGATTTTGAAAACATTCTCAAAATTCGCCTATTTTTCAGGGGCTCTAAGATGCCGATTATAAATATCGGAATTTTTAACAATAAAAAATATCTCACAATCAGTTCCTGTTTGAGATAACGCAAATGTTTCTGTATCAAACTTACAGGAAATTAGACGCCCTACAACTCTGCGTGGTAACCAAGGTCAAAGTTCAAGGTCACTTTTTCTGACCTCCAGTTTTAAAGTCAATATCAAAGAACGAGAGAAGTAAAATATTATTGATTTCAAAATAGCCATAAGTTGCCTAATTAAGTTGCCAACAACATATTAAAAAATGGCGGGACTTGTTTTTTTCGTTTTCGAGATATTCAGGGTTAAACGGTAAAAAACGTGGTTTTCGGAGTTTTTTTATGCAAAAACAACTTTAAACTTTTCTCCTGCTAGAGATAGGACAAAACGTGTAATGACAAAAACTGACCCCCTTAGACTCCTCTATCCGTCTATGTATCACACTTACTTACCTGGTTGAAAAAAGTCATTGACCCCGGTGACATGTGACCTTTTGGATTTTTTTCGAAACGTGTGGCACATAAATGGGAAGGGGACAGCGTCAGGAATATTATGGTACCCGGGATTTTGTTGTAAACCGAGCAGGAGAAAAGTTGAATGAATTTTTCCTTTTCAAATTACAAAAGTTTTTGACCTTTTGTGTGACCTTTAGCGCGGCCCGAACAAAGTGCCGCTGTACTCGATGGCCGTGGTGGCGGTGACGACGCTGAGCTTCATCCTGGTGGGCCAGATCAACACCCTGGCGCCGATCGTGACCATGCCCTTCCTCCTGACCTACGCCGCCATCGACTACTCCTACTTCGCCCTTGCACAAACCCACGAGATCCAGCTTAGGCGCGAGGATAGATTTAGGTACTCCCTGTAGTTTCAAACCCTTGTTCTTACTCACCCCAAAAAAAAAAAAAAATTCCACCAAAGGGCCCAGGAGTTCCTGACGAGCAGCCGCTCCGGCTACGGCGCCACCGAGGCCGACGAGAATTCGCCCGACAAATTCGACGACAGCGGAGATTTGGACCAGCTTTTCCCCGAAAGACTTCGACATAAAAAGATTGCGGTACTTTTACTTTTCCACCTCCGTTTTATTTATTCTTTTTGGTGCTTTTGCAGAGACAAATGAGTGAGATGAGCAACGTCAGCATGTCGGTCTCCACTCCCGAGGATCCGCCGACCCCGAGCCAGAGCAAACCTGCGGCGCCGGTTCCGATCAGGTCGAAACTTAACAACTGGTACTCGGGATTCTGCAACCGCTGGATCTCTCTCATTGGGGTGAAAATTTTAATGTCATTTCAGAAGTTACATTGATCAATTTATTCGAAAATTTTAAAAAGAATTGTTTACCAAAATTTTGACTTCTCTGTTTTTTAAGAATTTTTTAAACTCTATTAGCAATTGTGACTGCAAATTTGAATGTATTTTTTTATGTTTTTGCAGGCCCTGATCAAGCTGACGGTGATGCTGCTGGTGCACTGGGGCTACGCATTGGCCTCGGTGGGCGTGGTCTTTGTGGTGTGGACCTACGTGGGCCACGCAAACCCCGCCGTCAACCCCGGCATCGCGGCCGAATTCCGGCTGCTGCCGTGGCTGCGCAACTGCCTCATGCGAGCCCTCGGGTGCGTCTAATAAAAAAAATTAAATGAAAATTGTAAATTAATACTTAAAAGTAAAGAAAAGTGGAATTTCCTTAGTTAATTTTTTAACTCAAATTGATCAAATGGATTCCAAAAATTCTTTTTTTAGGAAAGACTGTAAATAAAATTAAACAAATTAATAATTTTTTCGCAGGCGGCCAGGGCAGGAGTATGAGCAGATCGTGGTGCCTCCGAAGCACCCTGGCATGGAGGTGGAGGCGGCGCAGCAGAACGACGAAAACGAAGACTTCGCCAGCCGGTCGAGGTACCACCACACCTCCACCGTGCAGGGCCGCCTCGTCACCATCGACGACGACGAAGACTAATCCAAATGCAGCATTTTTTTTTCATCTAGCGTTCATTCAAAACGTCTGCATTCCATCCCTCCGCACACCTTTATTTTTGTAATTTCGGCAGGACTTTAAATTTTATTTTCAACGAGGGCATGAAATGTCAAAATTTTACTTACAACGGAACTTTTGAGTGATTTGTTATTTTTCTAGCAACTTTTAATGGCTGTTTCCTGGTATTTATCTAATTTATTTAAGTATGATTGGCAGCTGATTGATTATGCGATTCCGTGTTGGCCACATACACAGTCGATATTGCCTAATTTAATAAACTACGACTTATGAAAAAATAAATAAATATATATATATTTGTGTAAATGTATTGCAAAAACGTAGGTGGTCGAATAAAACGTCTACTTTTTCTGTACCTAAAAAGTATCAACGATGATAATAAATATTCGCCGCGTATTTCGACAACTTTTATTACTTTGTAAACATTTTTGGTATTAATTGGTAAAACCAGGAGTCGAGATGGGCGCTCAAAAGTTTTCCGACGAGCTTGAAATCTTCAGTTTCAATAGCTTCACTGCTGACATTCATCTGCACCAAGATTATCGAGTTGGCAATGACGGCGACGATCATCTGTGTAGGAATCAGTTTAATATTTTTGAAAACACGAGAATTTTTATAAATTTTTTAACCATCGAAAGTAATTTGCGGTCGCAATCGAGATAAAAATTAAATGTGATTGGTGGGGAAATCTTCGAAATCCTGGAAAAGTATCGGATTGTCTGCAAATATAACAAAAGCTTAAAAAAATTAACCAATTCCAGTTCTGTAATTCAATCATATTTGATTCTTTTAAGCAGCTTTTGAATTCTAACAATAAAATAAAAAAAAAAAATGCTAGAAAAATCACAAATTGGTTCAGGCGATCAATGTGATTTGCAAAATAGAGGCAAATCCGAAAAACCAATTCTTGTAATTTTTGCAATTCTTTCCTCGCCTGATTCAACCAATTTTTATTTTTCGTCTTAAGATTGAAAGGTTATTCAATCATTCAAAGAACCAATATTTTATTGAATTACGCAAGTGTCGAAATTTGCTTAATTACGGCAATTTTTTCTGCTTTCGGGATTCTCATCATTTTCGTCACCTCGATCGCCTTCATGACGTCGTCAAATATCTGAAAATGTTTCTGCGTTCAACTGATTAAATGCTTTAAAAAATGCAATCAAACACCTTTTGCTTGACGCCGTGGCTGAATTGGCACAAAACGGTGACGACGCTGGCCGAAATCAGGAACATGGGCACCGTGGCCGAGAGCATTTGCGGGTTGGGCGTGCGCAGGATGTAGAAGAAGGCGAAAATGGCGCGGCCGAAGTTGACGATCAGCGAAGTGCCGACGCACATGGAAATGACGTTGCCCGCGAACCGAACCTTGGCCAGAAGTTGCAGCCACAGTTTCCGGTACGTCAGCACGCCCTGGATCAGGTGTTCGGTCCCTTTGCCACTTTCTCCGAGCTCCAGCAGAAGCTGCCACGAAATTTTATATTTTATTTTGATCCACTCTCGCTTAGCACGGCCGGGTCAAGCGAAAGCAAACATATGATAATAGATAATGCGGTTGAAAGTTATTTCCCCATAAAAAGGGGGTTAAAAAAAAAACACGTTTCTTGCCCTTTTGACTCTGAATATCTCTAAAAGGAAAAGATGTGATTTTACCTCATTTTTTAATATGTGTACGTAAATTTGGCAACTTTTGGCTAATTTAAAATTTAAAAAATTTACTTTGGCAGATTAATTAAATATTCAGGTTCCGAAAGGTGACCTTGAACTTCGGTCACTTAAGGAAGCATATCTTTGACAGGAGCTGAGTTATTTTCAATTTTCTAAATTAACTTTAAAAAATGCCAACATTTGTAAAATAGCAATTTGACCATTTTTCAAAATCCTCCTTAATTGTTTTTCCACGCAACAAAAGCAACCAAACTGCCAATTATTATGTCAAGAGTGGTTCATAATAAAGGGAATTTTTACCAAATTTAAAACTTTATAAACAGAAAAGATCTCACGGTGTACTCGTCCAGAATGACCGACGAGAGTTTTTTCATGAACAGTGCCGAGAAGACGAGCCAGTAGATGACGATTCCTTCGTTGAAGCTGCCCAGGGCCCTCCACAGGTCGGGCACGCCGACCACCCCTCGCACCAACAGGAAGGTCACGGACGCGAGCAAGCAGTAGGCCAGGGCGAGTCGGTTGTGCCCGCGGAAATTGATGCGCTCCAGTCCGCCCGTCAACGAGCACCGCTCCAGCTCTTTCTTTTTTGAAACTCAACGTTTCGTAAATAAAAAATTTTGAGAAATGATATACCTGCATTTCGTACATCTCGAACATGAACCACCGGCGCGGGCCCCTTTGCGAAAAGGTCAGCAGCGGGATGAAGTTGGTGAAGGTCGACGTGGCCACGTACAGGAATCCGAAAAACTGCACGTGCTCCGGCATCTTCAGCACCGCCTAACACATACACAAATCACAAATTTGCTCATTTTTTTCTTTTAATTTTCCAAGAAAACTGTTTGCAGATTAGGAGTTATGCAACTACGTGAACATGCATGTGCGGCAGATTGCATACTCAAACAATTAATGCAAAATTACGATTAGGCGGTAAATTATTAAGGGTGGGTCCGAAGAACAGAGAAAAGATTCTCGAGAAACGATTCTCAAGAAGCGATTCTCGCGCAAGGATTCTCAAGGAACGATTCTTTGGTTGAATTTTAAACGCAGAAACGTTTCTGGAGAACCCTTGCGCGAGAATCACATATCGAGAATCGTTTTTCAAGAATCGTTTCGAGAATCATTTCTCTTGTATTCGGACCCACCTATGAAGTTGTGCGTGTTATTGATTTTTTTTAAAGCCACGATTAATATAAAAATCAATAAAATTTTGGCCTACTTTGGCGGCCTGGACCATGAGCATGGCGTTGGTGACCGAGACGAAGGAAAGCGAGCTGAGGCAGTAGATCTTGGCCCAGGTCGGCGCCACCAGTCTGGGCTGGCCGTCGACCCTGCGGATCGTGGAGCCCCACGGCAACCACCCCAAACACTTCATCGCGATAAAAAATTCGCGGAACTCGAGCAGGAACTTGTTTTTTCGCAGGTAGTCGTTCGTGTCCTCGACCACCCTCGTTTCCATGGCAGACAAAAATTATCTGCAAATCAAATTATTATTATTATTATTGTTTTTCTTCACAAATCAAGTCATGAAAAGTTAAAAAAAAAAGTGTTGAAAAATGCTGGATCAGATTTTAGATCCTAAATCGGACCCGCGAACTTGAAGCCTCTATTCTGTAAAATTCAAATTTTGCAAGCATTTCAGCTCTCTTGATTGCGGGGCAGGTTTTGAAGTTTGAAATTTAATTTGAATTTTATGTTAAATGATGCATATTCGAATGCATTTATGTTGACCCAAAATTTGCAGAAATTTTGATTTCCTCAATATTTTTTCAAGACATACAAAGCAAAATAAATATCTTATTTTATTAAAACAATTTAACGAAGACCACTAAGTATCTCAAAACGAAGATTTTATGTTTTCACATCGATAGTTTAATTACTTCAATTTGATTTTTTTTTTAATTGACGTTCAAAAGGAAAATGTTAACAGTTTTCTTTACCTTTTCACACAAATCAGTCAATTCTAGTAAATTTGCTCGCAATTCGTGGCCTCTGAAGATTGTGCAGTGTTGTTGTCTTTTATCTTGTTAAAGACTGTGCAGGTCAATATAGGCATTAAGGGAATTGACTCTGCTCCCTTCTTGACTCTCAATCACTTTGTCTCCTAAAAAATTATGGCGGCCTAATGAATTGACATAATATCAATATGGGAAACTGCAATTTCGCAATATCGGCACATAGAATGGAGATGAAAGTTATTCGATTGAACGACAAATTCGTATCGTCACGAGCTAAAACTATGCTTTTGCACGCCGATACTTTTTTTATGCAAACATGATAATACATTAGTTCTGTCGATGAAATCTTCATGGAAATCGCTACCGAACTGTTATATTTTGTATAAAAAAAATGAACTAAGAAAATATAGCTTTACAGAAATCAACAGAGGTGTGTATAATTGGCAGTTGTGGGTATTAAAAGAATCCGAAGTAAAAACTTTGGTGGAAACTGGAAGATGTTCAAAATAAATAATTGCTTAGAATCTTTTAGGATTTTAATTCGACACTGTAAGAAGTTTTACACTTTTAATGACAATTAAAGCGATTTTCTGATCATCTTCTCGCTAGAAATCTTAACGAGGCGAGCCACAATTTGCGTGTTCAACTGAAAAAATAAGACTTATTGACGATTAACTTGTCGTTTTTATCTCGAAAATTAAAAGATATTTTTGCTTTGCTCGCGAATAAATTGAAAATATATAATTTATTTTTTAACAAATGTGCTTTGAGGCGAGGACAAAGAGTTGAAATAATTAAATTTTGATCAAAATGAAAACAAAGTTCAAGGCAAGAATCGACAATGAGTGGAAAACAACTGGTTTTGTGCGGGGACACTATTTTGTGTACAAATTTGATACCAAGAAACACAGTTGAAAGGTCTTAGGAAATCTCGTGAAGGCTTGTTAAAGCCGGGCAAATATTAGGATGTCCAAAGGTTTTGACCACTTGGCCGACGGATAATTTAATCTGCGCCGAAATTGAGCGACGCACAAGAGTAGAATATTTTCAGTTGAATGAGAAAAAAGAATTTTTAGTGTTCAAATTTCTAACAATCAACTTGATTAATTTTCCAAATTTCAATCTAAAATTTTACTCATAAGGACTAAATTTGGTTCGCAGAGAGACAATCAAGCAAGGAAAAAGAATTTCATTTTTTTAAATCAGAATTCTTCACTCACTCATTTTGTTCTCCAGAAATAATAATTTGGTTCCCTTTGAGAAAAACTGAAGCCATGAAACTTTGAGAAGATCCTAATTAAAATTCGTAAGCAATCAAAATAAAGGCAAATAATTGATGGACCAAATAAATTCATTTCGTCGTGATTCTGACCATGGATGGCGCGAGAGTTCTTATCAATTAACTCAAATATAAAAGCAAGGGCGTTGGAAAAGTCTTTGGCCTTTCGATCTTTGCTTCTCACTCATGACAATTGACACGACTGAAGCTCCAACAAAAGTAAGTTTTTTTTTTATCATTCTGGGGAAATTCCAACCCTCTAATTTTCAAACTAAATTTTATTATCGAACTTGGCAGTTAATCCTGGACTCCAACGTTACAATCTTTAAATAAAATACGAATTGAATTATACATATAATTTTGCTCTCGGTGTTTCGTGTATTGTCTAATTTTAAGGATAGCTTTAAATTGCTTGCACTTTTAATTGAAATTTTTATTTATTCACGCGAGTCAAAAAGTTTTTCAACTCAGGAAATTTCTAAATCATAAAATTTTTTCATCTGTTTACTACTTTCAATTTCTTATCCAACTCTTAATGCTTTTTGTAAATTACAATCTTGGAAAATTAGCAAAATGTTGAAAATGGAGATCAGAAGTTGGATTTGTTTTTTCGTCGTCTGCACTTTTTCTGCTTCTGCCCAGACTGAAGAGGAAGGTGAAGAGGTGAGAGTTTTTAGCAACGGCGGCAAAAATTATTTTCGATTCATTAAGTAAAATTGTCATCATGCGGAAGCTTAGTTTTTAAAATTGAATTTATGAAAATCAGTTTGTCAAGATTGAAAAACATAATTAAACAAGAAACTTTTTTAAGAACTGAAACTTTTTTACTTAAATTTTCGATAAGATGAAATTTAATTATTTTTCACGAGAAATAAAATTCATTTTCAATTTTCACAGGAAATTAACTTCACCGACTGCTGGAATTACGGAAAAAAACTATCAATTTTTGAAGCTCCAGGTATACAAATTTCAATTGACGTTTAATTAACTTTTTTATATTAAATTAAATGCTTTTACAACTGTTTTGTTTGAGACTCTGAGTTTTAGACAAATGAAATTTGCTATTGTTCTGCAATCTTAGATTAGCTGGAATATAAATTGCAAATTTCTCGAAAGCAATTTTCAAATTTAAATGCCAGAAAAGTTGAGAAATAAACGCAAATTTCAAAACGATTCTCCTTTTTAGAATTTAAATTTTTGCAGTTAAAAAAATTAACATCTTTCGATTTGTTGCTCAAGCAATAATTCAAAAATTTGATTCCGAGAAAAAAGATTTTATATTACGATCGATTTTTTAAGCCGTCCAGAATTTCAAGGATTGCGGCCGCTGGAACGGAAAGGAAATCGCTCCGTGGGCAGTTTCCCTCGGAACAGGTGACGACCTTCAAGTATGGTCTGGCGTTCTTTTATCAGATGAAACAATCATCTCTCGTAAGCATTGATTTCATAATTATTTTTTATTTTACTCGTGTTTTCAAAAACTAACATTATTATTTTTATTATCCCTCGATCAGATTATTGGCGCTTTTTATACACAGAGGAAAAGGAAAAGATTAAAATTTATGCCGGCAGATGTGAAGGCTTAAAACGATGCCACAATAATCTTGGTTTATTGGAGAATAAAAAGGTAATTTTTGAATTATTTTGCAGCCTTTTCCCATTTTTTCCAAATCCCTTCAAATTATTTTTTAATTTTTTTCTCCCGAGGCAGGTGTAAAAATTTTAAGGTCAAAATATTCGTTCTTCGGCAATTTGTATAAAAATAATAATTTAATTTTACCAAATTATCATTTACAAATTTAAATAATTTTAAAATAAAAGTACCTCTGTTGTCTTATATTTTCAGTTGAAAATGGTAATAATTTTGAATAATAAATTGTGTAATCCAGAATACGGCACAATTTTTAAATTTTAAAAAGTGAAGGCTGATGAAAAATATCAAATTCATCACAAAACATTAAATGAAACACGCAATTGTTTTAGGTTTTGGACGTCAAGGAGTTAAAATTGAAGCACGGCAGATTTTTTTCCCACGAGATTTTAGTTTGGCGAATTGAAAAGTTGGATTTGACGCCAAATTTGCAGCCTGTGTGTTTGTGGAACCGAGACAACAGAAACGACGAACACGAAATTTTTAACGATTTAACTCATTGGAATGTACGTATGATTGAATTTTAAAAGGCACAACTTTCTTAATTATTTTTTTTGTATACTTCAATTTTCCACAACAAAATTTACAGTTATTCATTTTGCATTCTGAAATTAATAAAACAAAACAACGTTTTCTTTGCACCTTGTTATATTAATTTAGAATTTTTCCTGAATTTCTAGAATTTAAGAGAAGTAGATTTTGTACCCGAACAAAGGTGTTACCGAAAGGAAAAGATTGAAAAAAGAGAATGCGACGTGTACAGGAATTCGATCTGCACATCAGGCCGTAAGTGAAATTGAACTTGTGGGAAATATTTTAAATTCTCAATGACTCTGCTAAATATTTGATTGGTCTGAATTAATTACAGTAATTTTGTTTTTAAGTAGAAAACAATATTATTAGCTGAGGAAAATTTTTTAATGAAAATGCAGCATTTAGGCAAAAATTTGACTAATAATGTGATAGCGGAGATGGAAGTTTAAAACTTTGTAGAGCTAAGGAAATAAAAGTGCAAAAATCGACCGCAAAATTTAACAATAAGTAGTGAATTTCAATTGATTGTTCATTTCGTTTCAGGGGTTTGGTCAGACTTTTTGTATATTGAGCGCGAAGGACGATTTTATCTACGCGCAATTTTGACCGCATTTTTAACAACCACTTCAAGATGGGTGGACTTGTTGCCGTTTACGAATGAAATCACTTCTGCAGCGTCCGTCGTCTTGGCTTCGCCGCCAAAAATCCCCAAACCTGTATCGAGCAACCACAGCGACCTTTAATTCTTGCATGAAAAAAGAACTTTAAATGTTCAATAAAAATAAAAAGGCCATTTATATTATAAAGCATGAAGTGTTCATAAGAATAAAATCTTTTACTTCAACAAATTTTATGTTATTTCTATGCCCGTAAATATAATCTTAATAATGAATTAATTTACTCAAACTTAATCCCAAAAAGCAAAATTTCCCCACAATCCTCACCCCTTCAGCAAAAAATGAACCTTAATTGCTCCCAATCGCTGCTCTCTATATCTGACACACCCAAATAGATCTTGTGATAAATTTTTTGTTCGTCTGAGGTCTCAGATTCATAATCTCAGGCGCACGATTTCCTTAAAACTGACTTTACCAGATATGCAATTGCATATTAAAATAAAATAACTAATTAAAAAGCCTTAAAAATGAACTACACCAGATGTTAAGTAAGTTGAAATAGCCGCGTCAATAAATTAAATAAAAAAATCACAATTTACACGGTTTATGTGAATATAAATTATGTTTGTGTGTTTTTTTTTTTTTAAATATATGTTCTGAACAGTGATTTATGACTAAAATCTAACGTAAAAATGATTTAAAGCAAACTTTAAGAGGCCAAAAAGAATTGAAATGCCGAAAATTTCCGAAAAAATTAATCAAATTTTTTCTAAGATAAAACAGATCTAGTTTTCCAGAACCAATTTATATAATTTAAACTGAAATTTCAGGTTCAATTAATTAAAAAAAGTGCGTAAATTTTTTAATATGAGCATAAATTGTTTTGTTCAATTCTTCAAATAATTTTGGGAATTTTGCTCCAATAACAAAATGTAATCAAAGCAGTGTTCGGAATATTAATTTGTTAATAAATAAATTTATTTTATATTTTTGGTCAGGGGTCAGGCTGATATATTCATATCTATGCGATGAGAGATCAAAAAGGATGAAAAAACTAAAAAAAGTCATTGAGACGGTTTTTATCGTTAAAAAAAAATGGAATTAGGAAAATCGTGGTTTATTGCTTGTAACAAACTCACATGCGTCTTGAACGAGCCTAAATTGGAACAAAAAATTGATTGAATTTCATGTGAATGAGTTGCATGAAAATCAATTTTGTTTAATTATTCTCCCTTGAGAACGCAACTGCAAAGTCCATAAATTTTCCTCACAAATCTTCATGATATCTTCAAATTCGGCAATTTTCTTCTCTATTGCGTAATTATTGCAAAACGTTTGACATAGTGTCGTGAATTGTCCCCGTCTTACCGATGGAAGGAAACATGGATAAGTAAAGCGCTCTTTGTTGATATCAACGTGGTTTTCGCGCGCGTTTTTTGAATGCATGAAAAAGCCGAAGCTCGTTTCTCCAGCAGCCCCGCCCCCTCGTAATTTTGCCGAATGCCGACCAAAAATCAACAAAGACTTTACCCTTGTTGACTTTACCGCTCGTTAATTGAATCGAACGTGGACTTTAATTTAATTGTGTGAATCGATCGTGTCCACCGCTTGCAGATGAAATGAGGAAATCTTGAGGAAAACGGTAGAATTAGAATCCAAAGCTCGATGGACGGAAGCAGGAAGCGGTCCTTCGGTATGAGACATGAATTTTCGCTTTGGTAATTAATTAATTTGACGGTTGCAGAGGGCCAGGATGAGGAGGAGAAACCGGCGGCGAAGCGTCCGGCGGAGGCGTCGTCGACCGCCAAACGCATGATGGCCATGATGGGCTTCAAGGAGGGCGAGGGTCTGGGCCGCGAGGGCCAGGGCATCAAAGACCCCGTCGCCCTGAGCACGCAGCGCGGCCGCAGGGGTCTCGGCCTCAAGGTGTCCGGCTTCGAGTTCACCGGCGAGGTCGACTTCGACTGGGACTCGGAGGTCGTCGAGGCCAAGGAGCAGGTCACGTGGCTGGCCCCCTACGAAGGTCCTCGACCTCTCGACTGGGCGCGCTGGATCACCGAGGGCAAGGAGAAGCTCAACATCGACGACGAGGACAAGTTCTGCGACCCCGAGGTCGACATTTCGTAGTTCAACTGAAAACCAAAATAAAGAAAATTGGGACAAATTGCAGGTGTTGCGGTCGGTGCTGAATTCCAAGTCCGTCTTCGACCAGCTCGACGACCTGGAGCTCCGCAAGGCCCGAGGACGGTGCAACCCTTTCGAGACCATCGGCAAGATGTTCTTCCAGAACAGGGCGGCCCTCAAGATGGCCAACCTGGACGCCATGGCCGACTTCATGTTCACACAGCCCAAAAACATGCAGGTACCTCTTAATTGAAGACGACTCACTCTTTCCCAAAATAAAAGCAGGCTACATTTTTATTTTTACCAGAAATGAGCGGCAATTTTAAAATCAAAATGCAAATCTAGGATGTTATAAATCATACCAAGAGGTTTCCAAAAATATATAGTTATTTCGGAAATTACGGGTTTTACGTGTCATTCAAATTTGTATTTTGAACAATTTAAAACGTCCGTATCTCAGCTTGCTGTGGTCGTTCAAAGATATTTTATAATACTTTTGGATTCGTATCGTTGCCCTCTACAATTTTTCTGTGAGATGCAAAACCGTAGCTCGCAGGTCAAGGTCACTTTTGGTGACCTCGTGAGCTTTGACCTCAAATTTAATAATTATTCGGCACTTTATTTGAAATTCTGAGACAAACAATTTTATGTAAAATTGGTTAATAATGAAATTTGGGACGTTGTTCGTTTTTTTATTATAAAAATAGAAAAAGCCCCGGTGACCTTTGACCTTTACAGGTTTTTTTCTTCATTAAGTATGACACGTTTTTGAAAGAAAACATCAAGGCGGGCAATTTGGTGCCCGGAATTTTGCTGAAACTGAAACAGATGCTGAGTTATCTCAATTTTTTCCCCAAATTATTTTATTGTATTTAAATATTAAAATCTCTAGACGTAGTTTAAAACTTAAAAACCTTGTCGAATTTATTTGCAAGTTCACATCCACTTTCAGAGTAAAATAAATAACAAAGCGTGCTTTTAAAAATTTCAGGACCGTCCCGTGGTTGGGGAGGGCGAGTTGCTGTACTTTGCGGACGTGTGCGCCGGCCCCGGAGGCTTCACCGAGTACGTTCTGTGGCGCAAGGGTTGGTTGGCCAAGGGGTTCGGCTTCACCCTGAGGGGAGGCAACGACTTCAAGCTGGAGGACTTTTACGCGGCCAGCACCGAGACCTTCGAGCCTTGCTACGGGGAGGACGAGGACGGCGACGTCTTCAAACCGCACAACATCGCCCACTTCAAGAGACACGTCCTGGCCAACACCGAGGGCCACGGCGTCCACTTCATGATGGCCGACGGGGTTAGTGAAAAACTGAACATTTTGTTGAAATTTCTCATCCGAAAATGAAATTCAGGGTTTTTCCGTCGAAGGCCAGGAGAACATCCAGGAAATCCTGTCTCACCAGCTGTACCTGTGCCAGTGCCTGGTGGCCCTCAACATCGTCCGCCCTGGGGGCCACTTTGTGGTCAAGTTGTTTGACGTCTTCACCCCTTTCAGCGCCGGCTTGTTGTGGCTCATGCGACGCGCCTTTCACCAAATCAGCATCATGAAACCAAACACCAGCAGACCTGCAAATTCCGAAAGATATCTTGTTTGCAAGTACGCCATTTTTAACCATTAAACTCGCAGAACTGAAACCAATGAAACCTCAAGATCTCATTGGGATTTTAACGTATCTTTTACAGGAGCTGAGATATTTTCAATTTTCCTAATCATCAACAAAAAGTTCCTGTAAAATAGGCAATGTTAAGAATTTTTAAACTATTTTCCACACAATAATAGCCTATTATTTTCTAAATCGGTTGACCCTGTGTGTCTAAATAAAATAAGAAGTGCTAATTTCAAATTTAACATAAATTAGTGAATGAACAATTTAGGAAAGATCTATAAATTATGTGTAAATCCAATTATTTATTTTGAATTTCGTCCAAGGTGGCGCCTGCATGATGTCTCGGAAGTGGAGCAGTTGATGTGGACAGCCAACGAGAAGATGCAGAGTCTGAAAGGAAGTGGCCGGACCGTCCTTTCGCTGGTGCCGGAGGACGTGCTGCGAGCCGACGAGCAGTTCATCGAGTACCTGAAAGAGTCCAACAACGAGCTTGGGCAGCGCCAAGCCGTGTCCTTGGCCAAAATCAAAGCTTTTTGCCAAAACACAACCCTGTACGAGCCGAGACAGCTCGAGATGAAGAAGGAGTGTCTGCAACTGTGGAATGTGCGAATCGCAAAGTTCCCCTATTGAGCCGGATTTGATCAAAGTCTTGATTCGCAGGTGCCGGAAAAAACGAGGACGGCGCCTCGCACGATGAGGCCCGAGGACGTTTTCGCCAAGCTCGGCCTCGAGTGGCGCCAGATTTGCCCAGAACTGAACCCGCAGATTCTGGAGAAGAATGTCAAAATGCTCGAGTGGCGTTGCTACGCCATCAACTCGGGGCGGATGAACAAAAAGTGCACCCTCTTCTTAAGTGAGATCAAAATGATTTATTTTTATTGTAATTTAAACTCAAATGAAGAATAAAGGTCCCGAAGTTGAAACAATTTCAATTTCTGTAACTATTTCCATAGATTTTAACTCTTAATTACTTGAAATTGTTTAAAGATTTGGTAAATTTTAATTTCGATTGTGTTTCTAGCAATCATTTTAGATAAGTTAAATTTTTTTCAAATTTAAAAAGTTGTTTTCTTAAAAAAGTATCAGGTGAAATTTCAAATTAAATCAAATTTAAGTAAGTCAAAAAGCCATTTTTTGATAACTTTTAAAACTCCTCTGCCTATTATGAGATGAAAACAATCCTGCTCAGGAATGTAATGACCAAAATTCGTCAACTTTGAAAATTCAGAAAATTCATGTTTGTTGTTGCTTGTCAGGTGTTGGGAGGGGCCACGTGTACCTGCTGGACAAAAGCAGGTGGAGCAAGGTGGACGTGGAGAACGTCAAGATGGAGCTGCCGGCGGAAACGTTGGTGTTCGGCGAGCTGGTGTCGGAGCTGCGGGGCGAGGCGCGCGCCCAGATGAGCATCAAGGTGCTGCACGTGATGGACGCGTTCGTTCTCGGCGGCAAAAGGGTTGACCAGCTGCCCTTTGAGCAGCGGCTGGACTGGTGCAGGGTGTTTGCCAAGGCCGTCGACAGGCCGTCCAGGACCGACCTGACCAGGGTGTGCGTCAAGGAGCCCTTCCACCTCGACGACCTCGACTCTCTCTTCGTCAAGTAAAATTCAATCATTGAAAAAGTGATCAAAATAATTAATTAAATTCTGCAGACTGACGACGAAGAAGATCAAGCAGCTGAGTGGGGACCGGAAAATGTGCTTCATGCTGGACGAAGGCGAGGAACAGTTCTTCATGGTAGGAGGACTGCTTTTCGTCAAGGTTGTTAAAGGTCAAGACAATTGATTTTGATTTTAATAATTTAATTTTATTGAGATTTTTACTGAGCAGAACCGTGGACCGTGGCCTTCAGCAAGTCCTTGAGACGAAAGTACTTGTTCAACGTTTCCAACGGACAGTCGACCTACGAGCTTCCTCTTGAAGCATGCACTGACTTCGAGTGAGTTGATTTGATCAATTTTTCTGTTCAAATTGTTTATTAATTTTCGCTGAAGAACGAGCATCAAATGCAGACTGATCTGGTGGTGGGACGACAAAGTCAATTTGGCCATGGGCGAAGACCCGGACAGGCTGGACAAAAACGTCGTGCACCGAGTGTCGCTGGTCGAAGAAATGGAGAAGCAGAAGAGAAATCTGAAAATGGTGTAAAGCGTCAATTATAAAATTGATAGGTTTTCGAAAAGCCAGAAATTTTAAATGTTTTCAAAGAAAAAACTCGCTATTCAAGTTAGCGAAACGACTATGTTGATTTTTATGCAATTGTGATTATTGTCAATGAGTATCTGCAGTGAAATGCTGAAATAAACGAAACAAAAACACTAAATTAAAGAATATTATTCAGGCCCTCGATGTTGCCGATTTAGCTCGGCAGAGGTGCTAGTGTTGCTGGTGGCCTACCCACACCTCCAGATGTGCTCCAGTTTTGGTCTCGTGATTACGTCAACGTCAACTTTCCCAGAAGAGACTCGCATGGGCGCCTCAAAGGTCTGAGGTTTCCTTCACACCCTAGACGAACTTAATTCGGTTTGTTTAATTTACAAATTAACCCTTTTTCGTTGCTCACATCCGACGGCGCTCTTTTGATTCATTTGTAAGTGTTTGTTTTGATTATTTAGGAGATCAGCTAGCTGCAGGGTCAGCGACCTGCACGATGTTCTCGGCCCTGAAGAGACTGACCACGAGCGGTGGCGCCAAAGGCGAGGTGCCGGTCACGGCAGGGGTGACCCCGATGGCCTCCTCGCTGCAGAAGAAATTCTCCAAAGGCGTCCAGTATAACAGTACTTTTTTTTAAATTGATTTATTTAGATGAGATTTATATTTTATTATTATATTTTTTCGCAGTGAAAATCGTGATAAGAGGGGACAGGGGTGTGGGCAAAACTTGTCTGTGGCTTCGACTGCAAGGAAAAGCTTTTAAAGAGGATTACGAGGCGAGCGAAGAAATCGCCGTCGCCGACATTCAGTGGAGCTACAAAGCCACCGACGACGTGGTCAAGGTATTATTTATAATTCATAATATCCACTTATCAAAGACACACACTTTCCAAGACAAAGAAAATTAAGGTTCGTTGGCAACATGGAATCTTTGAAACAGATCAGGGGAAAATTACACTTAATCTGATTGATTTTGGTTTGGAAATTGGAAAAGTCTAAAACTTTTCCGACTCAAATTAAAAACTCTCGGGTTCTATTTTGAGATACAGAAATGCAGTTGGAACTAAAGAATTACTTTTTACCTCTTCTTCAGTCCTGAGAGGTCATTTTATAGAGGTCTCAAATAAAATTGCAACAAAAATTCGCCACCTTCGATTGGGCTGAAAATTTTTTCTTAGATTGTCCTCACATGTAGGAAAATCATTTAAAAAATTCAGAATGATTTTTTTTATAAAAATTGGCAAAGTTAAAAATAGTGAGTTTTGATTGCTTTTTAAATTTAATTATGATTGACTGTAATTTTCCTGATTTTTTTTTTTAAATAAATCCACAACCTGTGCTTTGACTTGAAAGATTTTCTCTAAAAAAAAAAAATTAAAACTAAATAATTTGAAGGTGGAAGTGTGGGACGTGGTGGACAAGGGCAAGAAGCGGCCGCCGCCCGAGGGGCTGAAGCTGTCGTGCGAGGACAGCGCGGCGGCGCCCGAGGTGGCCCTGGACGCCGAGTTCGTGGACGTGTACAAGGGGACGAACGGGGTCATCTTCGTGCTGGACATGACCAAGGGCTGGACCTTTGACTACATCGAGCGGGAACTGCCCAAGGTGCCCGCCCACATCCCGGTGCTCATCCTCAACAACAGGTCCGAGGTTGACCTTTGCCCGACCGCTGTGGCTGACCTTTGCTTGCAGGTGCGACATGCAGCACCACCGCAGCGTGTCCTCGGAGGTGGTGGCGGGTTTCGCGGAGGCGCAGCAGCGGCCGGCGCCCGTGAGGTGCGCCGAGGCCTCGATGCGCAACGGCTTCGGCCTGCGCTACCTCCACAAGTTCCTCAACATCCCCTTCCTGCAGCTGCAGAAGGAGAGTCTGCTGCAGCAGCTCAGCACCAACGACCGCGAGACGCAACTCACCCTGCACGAACTCGACTTGTACCAGGAAACCAGCGTCGACAACAGCTACGACAGGTAATTTTTTTTCCCATTATTTGCATGGAAATTTCAAAAAGAGCTCTTTTTAAAAAAAAAAACTGAAATTTTTAGAATTACTTTGCATAATTGTTAAATTAATTAATTTGATTAATTTTAGTCTCATTTGAAGCCTTTTCAGATTTACGGGCATTGTACAAAAAAATCTAAATAAATAAATTTACACTCGGCCAATCGGCTGATCCCTAATTTCAGTCTGAAGAAAAAACCGTTAATTTTTTTCTGGACTTTTTATTCTAATTTCACTTTTCCGTAGATTCAAAAATTTATTGCGAAGGTATTTATTTATTTTTTCCTATTTGCGCTCTGAAACTTTGATTAAAATTAGATCTACTTTGAGTTTATTTGAGTCACTTTTTTACTTGTTCAATTTGCTATTTTGCAGGTTCAGCGAAAAATTGAATGAGCAGCGGCGGCAGAAAGCGGAGGCGACGGGCGTCGTCGGCCTGATTCCGCAGCCGCAAAACACGCAACCCATCCCGGAGGCTGTGATGCCGCCCCTGAAGAAACCTCCCTCGCTCGCCCCCCTCCCCAAGGTTGAGAGTGGAGGGGCGGTGCCGAGCGTGGAGGAATTTGTGCCGGACGGCGCCGTCCTCGACCAGGGCTTCCTCGACGAACTCGACTCGAATCCGAACACAGCCGCTGCAAAGCCCCCCGACGACTCCGACAGGTAAAAAACAAAAAAAATTATGTAAAAAGTTTAAGGGATAAAAGTAATATCTTTGTTTGGTTATTTTTTTAATTTTAATCGTTTATGCTTCCAAAATGGAATAATTTTGTATCAAAAAAGTTGATAAATTTTTATAATAGCAAATTGTGAATTTCAGTGAGGCCGAGGTGGGGGGTGGCAACCCCCTGGTGGCCGGATTCCAGGACGACGTTGAGGAGGAGAGTTTCGGCAACGGCCCTGACAGCAGCACGGAAGAATTGCCTGCGGACGCGCAGACGGTCAGTGAACTCAAGCTGGACATGAAGGAGGACTGGTTGATTCCGGGCAAAAACAGGAGGGGCAGTCCGGAGGGGCGGGAAGAGGCGGACGAACCGCCCGAAATCGTCCCGGCCAAAATGGAAAAGACCAAGAAAAGCAAAGACAAGGTAAAATTATTTAACAAATGACAAATTTCGCCAATTTTGAGACCTCAAAAATTTTGATTGGTGTAAAATTGACATAGAAATGCTTGATTCATTATTAACTATGATTTTGTTTGTTTTAGAAGGAAAAGGGCGAGAAGAAGAAGAGCAAAGAGAAAAAGAAGAAAAGGAAGGAGCGCGACGAGTTGGAAGAGTTTTTGAACGGCACCGCCGGTCCCAGTCCGAACGAAGAGTCGTACGAAGCGCTGTGACCGAAATTAATCACGATCTCACGAAAAACAAAACGTTTTATTATATAAAATAAACAAAGGACTCTATTAATTGTTAATCATATATGTGGGGTTACTTTAATAATGATACATTTTACAAAAGGAGAGAGAGGATGCGTAACAAACAACCCTTAACAAAATTCTCTGCGCGCGCCGTCACAATTTGAGAGACACACATTCTTTTCTCGGAGAAATCTTTCTTTCTTTCTTTCTTGGCGGCGGCGTTGATTTGCACAAAGTTTATTCTTCTTTTCCGCTCGGAAACTATCGAGTCATTGGGAAACTGCACCACACACGCGCGCGTTCAGTGTTCGCGTCAGGGGGCGAGGCGCGCGAGGGGGGTGGCGCGCACCAGCCGCATCAGCAGACTCATCAGCGAGAACCAGAGGCGGCGCGCCGTCGACGACCGCAGCAACACCACGCGCCAAACCACAGCCAGGGTCAGCACCTGCGTCAGCTGGTGCACCCACCACATTCTAAACACACAAAACACACAATTTTTACTTTAATATTCTGTTAGAACAAAAGATTTCAGGAAATGAAGATTCGGGCTTTTCCTCGTTGCAAAAAATTGATTTTATTCAAAAACAAACGGCTCTACCAGTTTAGAAATAGGGTCGCAGACCGTGACCGAAACTGGTAGAGCCGTTTGTTTTTGAATAAAAACAATTTTTTGCAACGAGGAAAAGCCCGAATCTTCATTTCCATGATCATCTCCTCGAGTGTCAACTTCTTCAAACAAAAAAGATTTCAGATTTGAATCACAAAAGTGTGCTTAAATAAGTTTTATCCAGAACAAATTTTACCTCAGTCGCATTGAAATTTATCAGAGAATTGTTTCCCCCAAATGCTTCCGCCAGAACTTCAATTAGAATTTTGTGGAATTTTAATATTTCAACTTGAAACGGGCATAATTTTGCTTCTGATTGGCATGAACACGTTTTCTTAAAAAGATTTTGGAAAGAAAAAAAATATGGCCTGCGAAATAGAATTAGTAAGAAATTGTTCAGACCCTGTTTCGATAAAAACAAATACATTCATTATTTGGAATAATTAATTAAAATTTAGTTTAGGGTGATTATTTCACAAGAAAATGTTTTATACAAAAATTGTAGAAAAGTTAATTCTGCATATTTTTTGCTTTTGCCCTTTTTTTAATCCAAGGCAAGACCTTTTTGTTCAAATCAAAATACAGGCCCAATTTAATTTTCAGCACCCAAATTTAACTCGGGATAATGTTCGTTTTTTAATTAACACATTCATTATTTTCCTTACTTTCTCAAGTGTTTGTGGGCGGCCGGGAAGTTGCTGGGGTCTTCCTTGAGGATGAAGCGGCGGGTGCCGAGCACGTAGTTCTCCATGTACTGGGCCCAGTTGACGCCCTTGATGTCGAAGTTGAAGGTCTGCTGGTCGAGGGGACACAGCTGGCCCGCCAGCTGCGTCACGTTGTGGTTGGTGAAGCGCCACTCGTGCGTCGTGAAGAACTCGAGGCACGCCACGGCCCTCGACAGCTTCTGCTGCACCCGCATCATGCTATGGCAAAAAAGAAAATCATTCAAAGGCACAAATTAATTAAAATTAATGATCAATCAGATATTTTTCCTTGCTTTCCAAAGAGAGAATGGAAGAATAACTATTTTTTGAAAATTAAAATTGTTTCTCATGGGAATTCTCCTTTTTTTTTCAAAATTGGGCCAATTAAGGTTTATAAAAAATTTGCCTAACAACCATAATTAAGTTGGCCAAATAAAATCAATATTTAATTAACATCAAAATATCAATTTTACTTTTTTCACTGAGGCGTCAGGTCCTCATTAAAACTCACATGGGCTTTTTGCCAGAGATCCTGGCGATGGTGTCGAGCACAAGGGCGGGCGCCATGTGGAAGGCCAGCACGGAAAGGTTGTTGACGAAGCGGTTCGACTTGAAGGATCCGTTCGGGTACCAAATCACGTCGCTGAAAGGGTGCTCGATCAGGTAGTGGTAGCCGTACTTCTCCACCTGGTGCCACTTGATCGGATTCAGAGAGCCTGAAAACAGAAAGGTAAAAAAAAGGTTTAAAAAAGAGCAAAACATTAAAACCTTTGAAAGGTGGCGTATTTTTTTCTTACGTTAGTAATTTTTTATTCGTTGTACAAACATGGGACCAACGATAATCGATAAGAAATTTAGTAAGGTTTCAAATACTCGCCTAGTTAACTTAATTGACAAAATTTTGGGTGCCAAAATTGTTTCATCAAAGGTCTAAAGTTTGTCATTTTTGTTTTGTTTTTTAGCTGTAGCTCTTTTGGAAATCAATTAAGAGAAAATTTTCATCACAAAATATGAAGAAAATTTAATTTTGCACACTTTTTATATTTAACATTTTCTTCTAAATCCAAAGAGACAAAAGTTATAAAAGCGGAATGCGGAATGGTTGCAAAATGAGGTTTTCTGTGAAATGTTTATCTTATCCATAAAAGAGGAAATTTCTGTAAATTTGCAAGATTCATCCTGAGGAGAACACCTAAGACCTCAGATGATTTTGATCCTTTCAAGCCCGCATCTTTTATCTTCTGCTACTATTAAAATGAATATTGAGTAGAAAACTTTTCAACATTTCGGCTATCATATGTTTTTCCACGTTGATTTCGCTGTTTTCTTGAGAGTTTTTTTTTAATTCTCACCTGAGGTGCAGTTGTAGACGAGCATGTCCCTGGGGCGGTGGACGGCGGTGTTCCAGGCGACGGAAATCATGAGGTTGATGCAGATGTCGACGGGGACGAGGTCGGCGACGAGGTCGCGGTAGCACAGGATGGTGCGCAACACGCCCTTGCCGGCGCCCGCGATCATGCCCGTGGGGCCGTTCAGGTTGTCCACCCAGCCCGAAATCGGGTCCTTCCACGCGGCCGTCACGATCGACGGCCGCACGATGGCCACCGGCAGGTTGCCGCTCTCCCGCACCAACACGTGCTCGGCCAGCGCCTTCGTGAACGTGTACGTGTTCGGCCGGTTCCCGATCAGCCTAACAAAAAGATTGAATAATTAATTAAAAATTGAAAAGTTAGGCAACTCGCTCGACGTGATTGGCAAGGGGGTTGCCTAAATTTGAATTGAAAATTTAACTTTTTTATTAAAATCCATCAGTTTTAATCACTCTTGAATGTTAAAGTGGAGAAATGTAGATAAATTTATGTGGAAAGTGTTTTAAATTTGCACCTCTCAGATTTTAAATAGGTCCGGGGTTGATTTCGGTCTCATCATTTTTCAGCCCTGAATTGTAATAATGTGTGAAAAAACTGAAAATATTCTAATTCTGAACAGGAACATAGAGATTCAAATGATTTTGGTGCGAAAATTTAATCCACCTGATTAAGACGGTGAAGGCTGCGAATTTTTAAATTCAATGTGGCCTTTGATCACGAAATTTGGCCTTCTTTCATATTTAAGAATGAAAAATATTACTGAATTTCCTCTTTAATTAATTAGTTTAAAGTGTAAAAAATTTTTACTTGGGCGTGATGGCGTTGATGAGGTCCTCGTCCATCCACTCGACGCACTGGATGATCTTGTCGGGGTCGGCGGGGGGGTCGTAGACCTGCTCCTGCACCTCGTCACGGTCGCAGTTGCAGTAGGCGGTGCTCACGTGCACCAGCGCCTCCAGCTTGCCCATTTTGTGGCACAACTCGACGAGCCGCTTCGTGCCCAGGATGTTCATCGCGACCGACAACTTGAGCGCCTCGTCGAACTTGACCGTGGCCGCCGAGTGGAAAACGACCGACACGTTCTCCGTCAGCAGCCGCTGGTCGGCCGCCGAGATGCCCAGCTCGGGCTGCGTGATGTCGCCGGCCACCACGATCAGCTTCGACAGCGCATCGGGCTGCTCCTTCCGCAGACCGTCGAAAATCTGCAAAATTTGTACAAATTACAATATTATGTGATCAAATTTTATCTTTGGAAAAGTTCACCGAGTTTTAAAGAAGCAAAATTTTTTCATAAAAATATATATTCTTGCAATCATTTCATTAAATACAATAAAATTCAATTTACTGTTTGGAAAAATCTAAATCATAATTGTGAATAAACTTACTGGCAAAGAGTTTTAATCTGCCTTTACTGAGCAATATTTTCTTTAAGTTTATAAACAATTGTAGTAATTTTTACTTCTCATTATTGCTAAATGTTGAGTTTTGAGGAGAAAATCTCATTTTTCAACCTTTCCTTTATCATAAATTTTCTCGCTTTAGATTTTAGAAGAAAATGTTAAATACAAAAAGTGTGCACAGTTAAATTTTCTACAAGTTTTGTATGAAACATTTTCCTCTCAAATGATTTCCAGACGAGCTGGAACTAAAAAGCTAATAAAAAAAAAATGACAAAATATTGACCTTTGTGCAAACAATTGAAAATTTAGGCGCCAAAAATTTTTTGATTTAAGTAAAATTGATAATATTTTGAAAGCAAATTAATTTTCCTATCGAATGGCGTTGGTCTCATATTTTTGTACAAGAAATAGAAAAATTACTACAAAAAATAACACATACGCCACCTTTCAAAGGTACTATTTTTAACCTGTAGAAAGGTTGGTAGGGGTAAACCTTGGCAAATCTAAGAAAATGTGGCTAATTGCCCTGCAAAAGACGATGAAAATTTATTTCCTGGACTATTTATGATCATAAGGAATGCGGATTTGTAGAGGTCGTTGCCTCCGAAAGAAATTCTCATGTTTTCGCATGTTGTTAGTTGTGCAAATTTTTCGTGCTGAAATTTCAACAACCGAGCGTTTGTTTCTTGCCAACTCCTCAAAGTGGACGTCATTTGCGACCTTGAGCGATTGAAAGAGCCTCTGAAAAGTAATTATTCAGGCAAATCCTGTTCAAGAGAAGCGGCCAATATTTGGACAAGAAGAGGAGAAACCGCGGCAATTGTCAAATTTTGTTTGCCAATTATTACGAGACGCAAAAAGTGAACGCGCTCGCGAGCTGTATTTGTATTAATAATGGAGAGAAGAATTTTTTTTCTTCTGATTATTGGCAAACGGCTGGCCAAGTTTGAAGGACTTTCACTTCGCGCATAGGCAATTAAATGGTCGCGCGAAAATTATTATAACCTGAGCGTTGAGGAGTTCGGCGAGGCGGGCGCGCACGTCGTGGCCGCGCTTCGGCCTCATCAGCAGGTACAGACTCTTGATCTCGGGACAGGAGCGCAGCAGCTTCTCCACCAGCACCTGCAAATTCAAAATTAATCATCGATCCGATAAGAAAAGAGATTTTAATTTTGATGAAATTTTGCTACCTTTCCCATGAAGCCGGTGGCGCCGGTGATGAGGACGCAGCGGCCCTTGTAGAAACCGGCGATCTGGCTGCAGCCTCCGGATGTCGCCATGGCGATTATCCTTTCCTAAGAGGCTCTCTCACGCCCAACACACGCTCACTCGCCTCCTGCAACACACAACAATTTTTAATTTATTTTGTGCTGACCACATTTTTGCTGATCGCTTTCCGCCCCACTTTGCATTACGACGCGCTTTCTTGCGGAATTATTTGCTGTTGCACTTTTCAAGTGAAACATTACATATCAAATAGCCCTTCGAGTACAGAATATTAAAAAAAGGAGTTATTATATATATGAACGTATCAGATATCAAATTATAAGCATGAAAATTAATTTTCTCGATTGATTCTTTAAAATCGCTTAAGATATACTCACAAAAAATTGGCTGAATTAAATGTAAAAATATGTCCTCGAGTCGGCCTCTCACGCACTTTGTTCTTTTGATTAGCTCCTTTCCAGGGGCCTTTCAAAACCGTCTAACAATGATCAAATTGAATTTAGAAAGTGGCGCGCGCGTCTATTGCGTGAAACAAGAAGGCACCAGAAGTGTATTAAAGAGGGGCATTGGTAATGTTTATCATTTTCAATGTGGAAAAATACCAAATTTCAAATCAGGGGTTCATCGGAGCTTCACCTTTTCCCGCCAAACAAGAATATGAACCTCAGATTGATTAAAAAAAAATGCTAAATTAGGTTAAAAAAGGAAATATTCTGGAGTAAAATGAGAAAAATATAGGTGATCACCTCGTAAATTTGTTGGAAATTAACTAAAATGTACTAAAATGACAAAATATAAAATTTTTATGTAAAAATTGATAATTTAGAATCAATCAAAATCACCTAAGATCACCAATTTTGTGATTATTTATTAATTTTTTTATTATCACCTAAAATTACCTAAAAACTCATTAAAATGAATAATAATGTTTTAAAAAATTATTGCCTGAGATCACCCATTTGTCATTTAATTAAGCTAAAAAAATTAACCTATTTTTCACAAGCCACGAAGGATTTTGGCGTGAAAACGCGATACCTGAATAAAAAGCTGAACAGTGCAAATTTTTCAATCGCGATTTCAACGTTGGGCACGAAATTTGGCCTTTTTTTTCAAATTCAAGAATGAAAAATTTTACCGGTTTCACTCTTTAAGGAAGTGTTTTTGTTTTTCGGTTCAACGCGCTCCGGAACCTGGTGACCTCTGGCGACCTTCGTAAGATAATGAGGCGCTGGCTCGTCTTTAGAGATTTATTCATTGCGGCGCAGGGAAGCCCTTTTGCTTTCCGCTTTGGGTTTTATTGCAGAGAACGAATATAAATAATGAATTGCGTTTTGAAACGGCACATTTCTCTCTTGCAAATGCGCGCGCGAGATTGTTTTAGTGCATCTGCTGCTCTTGGTTAGAAAGCTGCGCGCTGGCCAGCGATCGAGCCAGCCGCGGCGAGAGAGCTGCATGTGTGTATGTAATAATAATTCTCATTTGCTCAATCGCTTCCTTGTTTTTGTACCGCTCCACAAATTGCTGTTTGTATTTTCCCGCGCGCTTGTGGGAAATTTCATTTCGGCCCTTTGTCCGCGACGAATTTCGCGCGTGTCCCAACTTTAAATAAAAACTGCAACGTGGGCTTATTTTTTTCTGGAGAGTGAAAGAAAGAGCAGCGAGTGAGGTAACCGCGCCGCCTTTGCTAATAAAAGCTTTCGCGAAAAACGCTCCGAGCAAAATTTGCGTCACTTCTCCGCGGCCGCGCTTGGCCCCAACTCAATATAATTCGCGCGCGATTTCAATATAAATCAAACGCGTGCAGCCTGGCAATGACCTTCCCAACAATAACAGGACACACACACGTGTCATTTCCATGCCGTGCACGTACCTATTACTCTGCGCTTCCGCCAAAGAAAATAAGGAAAGAATATGAGCCGAAAAAAAATGCGCCTAAAAGTGACCGACTTCTGCGGCCAACATAAACGTCTGATTTGACTTCTTTTGATCAATCAAATTTTTAGACAAATTAACCTTCATTTGATTTTAAACCAAAAAAAATAATCACAAAATAAACAGTTTTTAATTATGAAATTTATAAAGTTTAACGCAAAATAACTAGTGAAATTAATTGAAAATGTTTAGATTTCCTTCCATTTTTAGAATCGATCGAGCGACTGAAATCTAACAGTGTCTAGAAAATTGCAAGAAAATGAAATTTTTTTTACATTTTTAACAATAGAACGGAGCAAATCAATTGTTATGTTTTAAGAAAAAGCTTTTGCCATAAAATATGGAATTGTTCTCAAAATTAAAATTTGTTCATGTCAGTTCATCCAAGGAGAAATTTAAGTCATTCGAAGAACTGAATTTTTTGAATTTAACATTGTTTCTTAACAAAAGTTTCAAAAACAATGTATTTCTTGACCTAAAATGAATAAAATTCACCAAATTACGTTTAAATCGCCGCAATTAAGATTGAAAACAAATAAATAGATCAGTCGATATAAAAAATTTGCAATGAATTTAATGAAAAAATGTAGTTTTTTTTAATTTCTCCTCGTTAAAGATATTGTTGCACTATTTTTCAAAATTTCAATAAATTTTCCATCAAAAAGTAGGGAATTCCCCTGAGGAAAGTGAGTCATGAGAGATCTCATTGCAATCCCACCCGGTATGCAAACAATCGGATGCTGACCTTGTTTTCATGCACGAGACCTTCTTTCCACTGCACTCCTCGGATGCATAGAAAAATCTCACTCAGTAATTAAGAAAAACACGGATTAATTCAAAATGTCACATTTTTTCGGCCTTGCTTGGCGTCGCAGGTCACGTGAGGTCAGACTGGTTTGCGTGGCCGGCGGCGCTGGATTATTTCGCCACGCCGAAAAGAAAAAATTAAGCAGTGCAGAGAGGATGGACTGCGCGTTATAGAAAATGTCCTAGGGTGCGACAATGCCAAGGCTTAACACACGTCGGCGGGTGAAGTAATTTGAAAGTGAATGAAATATATTCGCAGGCGCACCTCCTGCGAAACCGTATTTCGCCACTTTTGCCACAGATTAACATCCTTGACTTGATATGGCGTTACGCACTCACAAAAAATAAAATAAAATTGAAAGAAAAAACGCTCGAAATCAAAATTAGACGAAATAATAGAACTTTTTTTTCTTCATTCTAAGTCTCTTAAAGTTTGAGAATAGAAGGCAAATTAGTTTTTGAGCACCACTTGATGGAAAAATATCAATTAAACCTGTTCTTTTAGTAGCTTTTGAACAAAAATATTATATTTAAAAAGCGCAGATCTGTGTTTCATTCAGTTTGAAGAATGATGAATTTCATAATAGTTCAAAATGAGACAAACAAAAGTGATTGGAACAAGTTCTGAGCACCATTTTTTTTTTAGTTTAAAAAGCATTTGTCCGTAGACGAGCGAACGGTGCGCACCGAAAAAAGTAGTGCAGCCCATTGTTGCAGACGATCGAGCGTGACGACGACAGGTTAATGCACTTTTGCACTTTTATTATTTTCCAATCCGTGAAAGAAATTTCAATAAAATCATTATTATTATTGCGGGAATTGCGCAAGCAAGAGAAATTTCTTGTTTGCAGATGTTTCGAGAAAATGCAAACGCAGCTTCCGGGCTTGTCAACAATTAAAATTACCCCCTCCCCTGTTCGGATATAAATTTTTGAATTGCGGTGGACGTGAAAAACGAAATTCGAGGCTCACAGATTGGGTGGGTTGAGGTGGTGTCGGACGCACGCACGGAGCTAGGGTCGGTCTCGGAGAGATGCTTGGCCTGGCGCGGCTCACTCACTATTGACCCAGAGTCTCACAGGAATACCGTACTCAGTAACCTACATCGGCGGCGGCGGCGGCGGCTTCGGCGGCTTCGGCAGGTGGAGGGAGCGGCGCGGACCTTTTGCCTACACCGCTATAATGACGTGGACCGCGGACGCTGCACCCGCCCCCAACCCCTCTCCTCCAATTTTCTCGCACGCACGCCAAGGTCGTCGTTGACCAAACAAAATAATCGCTCACTTTTCAATTCATTCAGTTTAGTATAATTTTAAGAAAAAATTTGAACAATTATTTTGGATAAAATTACTCCGAGATGATATATTTTTCTTCTAAATTTCGCCTTTTCGTGTTTATTATATTTTGAATTTTCAGTCGGAGCAATAATTTCCCCATCTGTGAATTGTGGGACACGAGGTTTTGAGGACAAGCGAGACCGAAAGTCAATCTCGTACTCGTGCCTACATTACTCGTTCATTACCGAGAGCAAGAGGAAAAAATGCGCTCATTGCGGTCGCAAAGAATTATAATTGAAAAATGTGTGCCGATCGCCAAAGGTGCAAAGTGAGAATAACAAATGGCTAATTTTTTTAGGTTCAAGCAAAAGTTTGGTAATTGTTTGCCATGAGTTCTGTAATTCAATAATGAAATCTTTTATTCAATCACCTTGAATTCAAAATAAAAAATATACTGGCGTTGAAAGAATCAAAAGGCGGCCAATTTTAGGAGTTTTTGCAATTCTCCTATCGCCTGATTGAACTGATTTTCTTATTTTTTTTTTTTTCTTAATTTAGGTTTGAAAAGAAGAACCATTGAACAACTCAATGAGATCGTGAATTTTTCTTTGGTTTATGAATTTCCTTGAGACGAAATTCCGCAATCGAATACGCGAAAAATGACTTCCGAGAAGAGAACTTTCTTTCCGCTCGTTTTCCAAAGTTAATGGCCCTCCTTATTTATACACACAACAGAGATTAGTCAATAAATCTGCAAGATGCTATAACATGTGCGCGCTCAATCAATAGCGGCGCGCGTGCCGCCGAATCTCAACCTAACGTAATAATTTGGCTGGTCCAATAGATAAGTTGTTTAGCAAATTTATGATTTAATTTCAATTTTAATCAATTAATGAAATCAATCAAAAAGATTAAAAGTGGTTTATTAAATATTTAATTTATCCTTCTATTATATTTTTAATTTAGAATAAGAAACAAATTTAATTTAACTCTTCTTTCTAACGTCGATGTGATAATTTTAATGTTTCAAATTTTATATAGTCTCTGAATTTTGTAATTTGGAGTTGGAAAAAATAAGTATTTCCCCTTCTTGGCCTTCTTTTTAGTGCCATATTAATTACATAGAGTGCATTTGCTAAAATTTAATTAAAACAATTCTAGACTTCTAGAGGTAAAAAAAATATTTTAACAAGATTAATAAGAAGGGAAACCACGAAGAATTTGAAAAAATTTATATAACAGTTTTTGCAAAGCGTTTTATAATTGCTTTCTGTTTGAAATACAGTTTTTATCTTTATATTTATTTAAAGGTTATTTAAATTGTTTCAATTATTATATCAATCAATTTAATTTACTTCTGGAATCATGAAGGATATGAATAAGGATCTTTGAATGGTTATTTATAAAAAATCATGTTAAAAATAAAATTTATTTCAAATGATCAAGTATTTGTTAAAATCTGGTAAAATTGAGCTTACAAAAAGTGACTGAATCCTAAAAATTGTCTAACTTTAAAAGCTTTAGAAACCCTACCAAGAAAGCCTACTCCAATCTTAATAAACATTGAAATGAAACAGAGGGCAAAATAATGAGTTATATGTACCTTTTGGCGATGGTTTGGATAAGGGGAGAGCGAAGGGCCGCAGTTTCGAACTCGTCAAGCCCAAGTGCAAACAGCTTCTGCCTTATTCGATTCTCAGGCCCGCAACCAAAACGTGGTGCGCCTGCAAACTTGGCTCCTCCTTTTTGCCACCTTTTTGCTCCGTCACGTCTTTTTGCTCCTTTCAATTAAGTCCCTCGCTTGTATTAACTCGGAGTATGTTCGGTGGAAAAAATTCCTGCAAATTGTTTGCACTGATTTTCAGAATAATTATATTTAAATCAGAGAAAATTTTCAATCTTCTAGAATCAAAAGCGAGATTTGCTGCTCCCCTTGGCCGATATTATTTGTGTGTGAAAAGTTTTCCACTTTCAACTGATTCATTTTATCATTGAAATTTCAAAAACCTGATTGGTTTGGATAATTTTCAAGGTTGTATAAGTTTGGCGACCATAAAATAGCGAATTCTTTTATCAAGAAAAGAATTGAGAGTCATCAACATATGCGCACCTTTGCTATTCCAATTAGGCACTCTGCATTTTTTCAGCTATGACGTATCTTTTCCTCCTTAACTCACTTTTTCTGGCGTTCACATATAATTAAATCCTTAAATAAAAATCCCATACTAACTGAAAAAAAATGGCAAATTAATTTTTTATTCATTTTGAATGACGTACATTTTTGTAAGGATTTTTTTTTTATTATTCTCTTTAATTTGAATGACGTTCATGAAATTACATCCTTATAAAATGTCCTTTGTCTTGGACAGAAATCTATCGATCGCTGCTGCAGCTTTGGAGACTTCAAAAGAAAGTATGACTTTGAATTTAAAACGGCACCATCATTGCTCGTGAGTTGCCAATATTTTCAAAGACACGTTAATTAAAATGATTAAAGATGGGACTCGAGAAAAAAAGCAGGATGTGCTGCGAATTTTCTTGACAATGTGGAAAAAAGCTTCAATTTTCAAAGATTTTGCAGGTTTTTGGCCCAGCAAATCAAGAGCGTGTCAAGGTCGGTATTTATATCATCGATTGCCAATATAAAGAGAAAACTACTTTTCTTATTCTTGCTCAAGCAGGAAAGGATTCGATTCTCGTCGGCGCGTCCAGCCCCGCGACCTCTCAACACGACGAGTCTCCGAAATTCAGAACATTTGCGAAAAAAATGAGGATTTTTTGGTCACACACATTAATTAATAACCCTCTCTCTCACAACCTTGGCGCGAAGAAAGTTCAATTATTTTGGTGGCAAAAACTGCAAAGGCGACCTTAAATAAATAAAAATTTCAAAAGGTGCCACTTTGAAGATCAAGAGCTGAAGAAATTCACAAATTTATGTTACCGAATTCGGTAAATTTCAATCAGTTAGTTGGACTCAATAATTATAATTTAATCTTAGTTTAATTAATGAGGAGCTGAACCTTTTCTCATCAGATCAGATTTTGATGTTTGAAGAATATGAAAATGTAATTTGGTGAAATTTTTTTCTAATCTTCGACCGGACAATTTTGAGAAAAGAATCATTTTAGAAAATTTATAGTAAATACAATTAAATATAATTTTAATCCAATATTACAGATTAAATAATTTTAAATGTTTTTCATTTTGAAACAAAAGACGCGGGTTTTGAGCGAAAAGTGCGTGCGCAGTTTGGCGCGCACAGCAGCAGCTTTTACTTCTTCTGTGTATTTGGTACACACACAATTTTATTACGGCGACTCTGCAGCCCGCGAGAATATGTTATGCAAGAGAGGTGGCGTGAGGTAAGAACTGGATCCGAGTCGCGGCTACTAATTGACGACAATATATGTGTATAAGCCACTCACAGAAATCGGTTAGGTACCCATCGTGTTTACAATTGCGATACTTCTAGTATACTTTTAGTATTCATCACGTCTCGCGGTCTAAAACGCTTATTTTTCGGTCCCGCACGCATACATTTGCAATACTCTAGGTTTACTTTTGACAGCTCGCCTGCTGCGCGACCCTTGCCGGCCGCGCTCTAAAATACATGCGTTTGCATCCCTCCCCCTCCTTTCTTTACAAAACACAATAGTTTGACGAGCAGGTATAAAAACCCTCCCTCATAAGGCCCGTGTTAAACAGGTATACAGTTTTTAAAAAGTAAAGCAAGTGAATAGCAAAAGTATAGCTGAAGTATCGCAAAAGTAAACACGATGCGGATCTAAATTTTTTCTGTGAGCAGGGAAATTTACAATTGAGGTGAAAGTCGCGCGCGCTTCATTATTTCCTCAACGCTTTTGCATTTCCCAGCAGCTCGGCTCAAAACAAATCCGACGCGCACCAAAACAAACGCACGCGTTTTTTTCATTCATTTCTTAATATATGTATATTGGAATTATTTTTATTTAATTATTTCCATAAATTTCATGCTTTTCAAGAAACTCAACAATGAAAAATTTAGTTAATTGTATATTTTTATTACTTTTTTTTCTTAAATGAACTTTATATAAAGGGACGCGTGAAAAGATATTGAAATACAACATGGGATGATATTTTTCCAATGATGACGACCTATTTATAGGTCACCCCCCTATGATATTCAAAATATTCTCAAAATTATATTCAAAATTGCAATTTTTTTCTTCGAATAATTAAAATATCTACTTTTTAAGTTTCCTGTTGGTGACTTGGCGATATAAATTTGGAAACAACTTGTCTAGTCCAATTTTGTGACGCCCGAAAACTCTTCAACAGTGGCCAAATAACTTGTAAGAACACGTTCAAGGTCGCTTGCAGCTAAATTTTGAATTGAAATCAAATTTTCAAAATAATAAGTCTTAGATTTTTTGGACGTGTAGGAAAACAAACTGTAGCCCTTAATTTAAAATCGGTGTGCGGTGATAATGAAAGGTTATTTTTCTTTTGATCTAAATTAAATTAGAATATTTTAGTAGGTGAGCATTTTTTTCTTTTCAAATATTTCTCTTTCGTCATGTTGCTATGCAAAATAATAATCTCACAAGAATCCTCCTGAGCTCCATTTTTACCTGCCCTCTTCGATACTGACCAAACGTGTTGGAACACGTTCAAGGTCATACTTTTGGCAATAAATTTTGTCTCTGACTCAAATTTTGAAAATGAAAACCCTAGGATTTTTTGAGCCATTGAGGAAAATTTAGCTTGATTAATTTAGAATCGATATTGGTAAAAAATATTAAGAGGGCAATTTTGGAAATTTTAGTTTCTGTGGAAATTAGAACAAAGATTAATTGATTTTTTTATTTTTTTTTTAACCTCACAATCATTAAAAAAATGTCATTTTTAATCATGCATTTTTTTAAATAAGCGCCACTGGATAACGAATGAAAGGTGAATTTTCATGACTAATTTTAACTTCTTAGCGGAAAATTTGACCTTGGATTTTTTTGCATACGCTAAGGGGAGTCAAGAAACGGGGAGTAATTTAATGGTGAAGGTGATCTTTGCGATTAATAAAGTCATGCGTCGACCGACCGGCCTGATGCTGCGAACCCGCGCAGCAATAATCACCTCTGCCGTCATCCATCATAAAACGCCTTTGCTTGGAATCGAGATTAACATCCTTGGTGCTCATTTTTTAATTACGCCGAGTGCAGAAAGTTCTCCAGCCGCGCGAGTGATGACATTTTGCATTTTATTATTACGTACGTGGGCTGAAAAAAAACCTCCTATTCGCGTTCAGGGGAAACAATTGTTTGGTCAATGTCAAGCGCTTGCGACTCACCTTGCTTGCAAAGATGAAAGCAAAATCGAGCACATCTCATGAGCGTCTCTCGACACAAGAGAGTCTTTTTCCGAACCGCGGCGGCCGAGTTTAATTTTTGTCTCCGCGCACAGAGCAGAGGAAATGCGTCATTGTCTTGTTAAGAAGCGACCAACTAACTCTCTGGACCAAATAAAAACTCGCGCACTTTGCAGTGATCTTTGGTTTCTTTTCAATTTAAAATTTTAATTGTTATTATTATGTGTGTTGTTTTCCAGTTTTTAATTTAAATGTTGGAAATTTAAATCTCAATTTCTCTCCAAAACTGTTTTCAATCCGTGAAATTATTTAACTTTTAAGAAGCGTTATTTTTATGTTCGAAATTACCAAAAACTCTTAATATCGAATTATTATTTAGTTATAAAATAAATGTTAAATTTTTATATTTTATTCTAATTTCAAAGTAAATAAATATTAATTTTGTTTTACCTTTTTTAAAAGAAAAGATCCTACATTATAATTGAAAATCCAAAAGAATTTAATTTCAATTCTACCAAGTCATTTTTTTTTTGTTATAATAAAATTAATATAATTTCAATATTGGCATGAAAGAGTTGAAATGAACCATAATTTAATAATTAATTACAAATTTAAAAGCGAAAATAATGCAATTTTCAAAATTTTAAACAAGAACTTTAAATTAAGTTTCCATAAAAGTACAAAAACTTGCTCATAATTTAGTTTGAAATTCATTTCTTCAACTTTTTGGCTTTATTTTAAAAAGCCGGATGGAGTTGAATAACGATATATTTGCACCAGACCAAGGTTTTCTCCAATTCCGGTGGGAGATAATTTTTGAATGATTCACCCGCGCCAATAATAAGTGCAAAGAAGGCCGAGTTTATTTGATTTCGTGAATTGAATTAATTCTGAAAAAATAAAACGTGTGTATCGATAAGAGAAAAAATCTGCAAAGATCTCGCTGGACCCGTTTTCTGAAGGCGAGCGAGGCGGAATTTGGATTCGCTTCGATTTCGGCCGAACATGAAAAGGACTCAACTCCGAAAAAAGGGCGTCTGAAGTGGGGAATTGGGCCGGGTGCGGGCCCGAAATTGACACTTACCACCGGCTCGGCGCCTGGCACTTCTGCAACCTGGGGCAGAGATCGATGCTGGCGGCGCTGCGGGTCCACCTGGCGGCGCCGGCGCGAGGCTATCGGTGGTGGCGCCGCCCCACCCCCGCCACCTGCAGCCGGGGCGCCGAATTGCCGTCGCGCGCGCGGACCTCGCGAGGGCCAGGGTGGGCTAGATGCGCGCAGGGGCGGAAAACGAACGCGCACTGCAGGTGGCACCACCGTCGCGGCGCGGCCCTCGCCGCAATCAATGAAAGCAACCCCGCCGCGCTGACTCACCCACCCCCGAGTCGATTCATCAGAGCGGTGCAAAGGGCTGCACATTCATAAAACCACCCCGTGTCGCTCCCCCACCCCCTCCGACATGAAGTGCACAAAAAAGCTGCTGCTAATCCACATTCCCATGTATTTCTACCCCTAGAGATTATAAGGGTTGTTTTTTTCTAATTTTTATTCCATTCGAAAACAAAGCTTGATGATATTGGAACTGAATAAAACCAAATGCAAACAATTAAATTATAATTCTATTGAAAAGTTCTATAATTTGATTGAAATGGAAATTTTTATTACATAGAAATACGGTTTCCTCGTGTCTTGTTTAAGACTTATTTTTTAGTTAAAAAAAACATAAAAATAAAAACATAATCCTCCTTTGCTTAGCAATGATTGATTCTCATTGAATCTCACCATGAGCTAGTAGAAACCAATTTGTTATTTTAAAATAAATTAATTCTTAATTTTGTATTTCTTCATTTAAAAGAAAAAAAATTGGAATCTTTATCAACACAGAAATAATTGAATTGTTTTAATTAGAAAAACAGTTTGTAAATTTGGAAAGAGATCGATGTCATCGATGTATCTTCTTATTTTGAGCATGCGATTCAGAATTATGAAAATTAAATTAAAATAAAAAGTTTTGCTCACTAAAAATGTTAATTTTTTGCACGTATTTAAGCAGAATTAATTTTTAATGTTAAATTTAAATGAAATAAAAGTTTTTATAAAAATTGCATTTTGCTAGATTTGGCCGGGTGGATTTTGGACTGGCAGGGGTGGCCGCGGGCGCTTTCGCTGGGAGGGGTCGCCCCTCAATGGACTGCACCCCGTTCGATTGTGTGGGGGGTGGAGGGGGCGGGGGTGGAAAAGATGAATGAAAGTGCGCAGGACCCGCGCCGCCGAGCAAAAAGTTCCCAGCCACCCTCGCTCGCTCGCTCGCTTCAGCTCTCGCTTCGCCCCTCGCCAGATCTCGCACCCTCAGGTACGTGTGTTCCACCCTGACCCTGCGGCGCCAACACACGACCCTGCAATAAAACTCCGCACCACCCTGCTTTTCTAGGGGCAGCCTCCGCGCGCCCTAAATCCTCGATCTGCTGAAGAAAACGCACAATATTCAGCTTTCCGGGGTGCGTATTTTAATTGGGGAGGAATTCAGGGGGCCCACGCAGGGGGCATTTCACCTACCCCTATTTTATTCAAATTTACCTCTCTGATTTATTTTCAATTTCATTCAAGATCCGCACATTCCAGACGTGAATCAATTTATTTCCCAATAATTTTCACAAAAATTTTACATTTTACTTGAAATAAAAATTTGGCATCTCAGAAAAAAATTTACATTATAAATATCAATAAATGTTATATATTGTTTTCTTTATAGCAATTATATAAATTTAAATTTTTTTTATACATTTTTGGCTTATTTTTTTAAATCAATAGCACATGCAGATTTAAAAAAAGTAAATATTTAAATCAAACTTGTTAACAATCTAATTTTTGAACTCAGTATTTAATTTTAATGAAACTTCAACTCTTTCAATCAATTTTGCAAGACGGTTTTTTAAATTGAAAATAACCGTTAACCGCGAGTCATCGCGGTTTAAATTGTTCTCATTCCCATTCAAAAACGAACGCTTTTGGAAAACTGGGTTAATAAACCGGTTTCTTTAAAATTCACGTAAAAACCGGTAAGAACGTTTCACGGTATAAACCGAAAATCTTTCCAATTTAAAACCGTCGTGTGTAAAAGCATAAGAAATGAAACCGGTACCTTGTGATTTATGAAAACCGGTATAATTTGCAGCAAAACAAAATAAAACACTAGATGGGTTTTTCCGAGCTCGACTTTCGGCCGAAATTTTCCAAATTTGGGGCCTCTGTCAGGAGGAGATGGTGAGTGTCCGTTCGGCGCCAACGTCACTTTCGGACTTTCCGTCGCCAAACGCGTCTTCGATCGCGGTTTTCCTTTGTTTTCACTCGTTTTTGGAGCGGATTTCCTTGATTTTATTGCTTGTTTGTTTGTTTTGACACGTTTCCTCTTTTCACATTCGGTTTGAGGATCATCACAAAATCTAAGTGGACAAATTAATTCATTTCTGCTGAACCCCAGTTTGTTTCACACTATAAATTTTAGTTTTTTTATGAAGTGTTTTTTTTTCTCTGAAAAAAGATTTTGCTTGGGCTTGCAAAAGCAGCAAAAGGTGCCTCGCTCGCTTTGATAAGAAGCAATTTGATAAGCGGAGGGTGGAGTTTGACGGCCGCAATCATTTTGATAACGTGTCTGTTTTTTCTTCTTTTTTTGCAGATGTGAGTTGCGCGGACCGTTTTTCTCCTCGGCCAAACTCTTGCTCCGGTTTGCTTTTGTCCGACGCGTCCCGCCCTCGTCACCATTCAGCGGTTTGTATAATTTTTTTTTCTTTCAAAAATTTGAATTAATTTTTTGATTCTCGCAGAAGGTCGTCGGGTGGGCCGCGGCCGCCATGGCCGGCAGCGCCGTGGTGACGAGGCGGCGGCTGGCGTGGCCGCCCGAAATGCTGCCCTCTAGGGAGCGGCCCTCTTCTTGCCCCGACTCGCCCCTGGCGCCCGCCCCGCGGCCCTCGAGGGCCCGCGGCCTCCTCGAGAGGAGGGGCTCCAGCGCCAGCCTCACCATCGACCTGCACCCTGCCCAGGCTGCTGCCCCTCCTCCTCAAAGGTCAACATCCAATCTAGCGCTATTTTTTTTTTAATTCTGCCAAAATTCATCAAATTTATTACAGAAATTTATCAAATAACCTTACTTTTGTTTATAAATAACAATTTAAAAAAAATAATAACAATAATAAAATTCAAAGAAAATGAAATAATTTGATGAAGTCAGTGAGATTTTTGAATGTTTGAATTGAAAATTTACTATCTCAAAAGTTTCTTACAATTAAGTTTAATTCCAATTCAATTTTAGTCATAAAATATGGATAAATAGCAAAATAATACAAATTTATTAGAAATTGATTTTTTTTTAATTTTTTTTTTTTTGCAGCGCACTTTTGGCGTCGGCGTCTTGTCGGTTGAGCCGGGCGCGACTTCGGGGGTGCCTGGGCGACGCCCGGGCGCTGCACGCGCAGTTCTGGGAGATCCCGTCCAACATCCCGGAGCGGCCGGGCCTGAGCGGGAGCGGCCCCAAGAACCGGTACCGGTGCGTGCTGCCGAACGAGCACTCGCGCGTGCGGCTGCTGCACGAGCAGGACCCCCTCGCCGCCTACATCAACGCCAACTACGTGCGCGGCAACGCGGGCGAGGCGCGCGCCTTCGTCGCCACGCAGGGCCCGCTGCCGCACACCCTGCACGACTTCTGGACCATGGTGCTGCAAGAGGCCGCCGCCGCCCTCGTCATGATCACCAAGCTGCGGGAAAAGGGCCGCCCCAAGTGCGAGCGGTACCTCCCCGACCACCACCAGCCCCGCATCGACGTTGGTGACATTCAGGTATTTAAAAAAAATATGATTTGGTCACAAATCAATTCCTCCTGAGCTGACCTTTCCAACGATGTGTCACACTTGATGTTTTAAAACAAATTTGAATTTGGTGGTGGGGGGTGATCTTTGGCCAATCAGATCGCTTCATTCATAAAAACGCCGTTTTTGCCGAAATCTCACAGTGAACCTGACTTCTTTGGTCACCAATCAATTCCTCATGACCTGACCTTTCTAACAACGTGTCACACAGAGTATTTTAAAGAAAAATCTAATAGGAATTAAGTATTGGGGAAAATTTTCCAGCCAATCAGATCGCTTAAATTATAAATTCGTAATTTTCTGCGCTAATCTGGCAGTGACCTCGACCTTTTTGGTCACCAATCCATTCCTTTTTGTGGCCTCAACTTTTTAACGGTCCATTATTTACATTATATACCACCGTAGTTAATAATTATCTTCAATTTAATTAGAAAATTACTGCTTTCGCCAATAAATTTGGCTTATAATCCTAATTCCACCTATTATTAAATGCTTTTTTGGTCAGAATCTGAATGAACGACCAAATAATACCTTAATTGTGTTGACATCCACTTTAAATCTGAAATCATCTCCATCAAAGTGAAGGATGCGAACTAAGGTTCAAAATGAACCAAATTAACAAAAAATGGAAATTAACGTTTTACAAGATACAATTGAAAATTAAAATTTTCTATTCTCTTCACACAAACAGTGTAAATTGTGTGCGGGAAAACTGACAATGAGTATATTTATTTTGTCTGCAGGTGCGGTGGCTGGGGTGTGAGCACCAACGGGGCTTCCTGGTGACGCAGCTGGAGGTGCGTCGCGGCGCGCAGCGTCTGCGTCTGCCGCACTTCTGGTTCACCGACTGGCCCGACCACAAGGCGCCCGAGGACGCGGCGCCGCTGGTGGCCATGGCCGAGCACGTGGAGGAGGTGCGCATGCGCGGCCGCGGCCCCGTCGTCGTCCACTGCAGCGCCGGCATCGGCCGCACCGGCTGCTTCATCGCCGTCGCCCTCGGCATGCAGCAACTCCGCGTCGAGCACTCGGTCGACGTCCTTGCCATTGTCTGCTCCATGCGCCAGGACAGGTCATTTTTCACTAGTTAAATTTTACCAAACTCGGTCATGATAAGAGATTTTGGCGGGAAAAGCGAATATCAACTCTTAAAAACTAACTCCGGTGAACTTTTGCTTTGTATCTAGAAAGATCGCCTAATTTTGAGGATACCTTGTGAATATTCCAAAAAATGTCGCTCTCACGTCAGAAGAAAACGTGATTTGAAAAATTCACGCGAAGAAAAATAAGAGAACTTTATTGTTTTTTTCCCCAATTTGGTCAAAATACTTCAGATTTTGGACCAAATTGACGGAAAAAGCGCGAATCAATCAATTTGTTTTCTTGCGATTCTGAGGTAACGTTTTGGAATTTTCTTATCTTAATTTGCTCAAAATTTAGCGATCTTTCTTAATGATGAATGAATATTAAAATCACCGTATTTAAGAAATAGAATACATGGTTTTTCAAGATGATTTCAAATTCATCCAGAATCACTTGCCTCTTTTTATTTCACGAAATTTGAAAATTGAAAAGATTTTGGATTAATTTTGAAATTTTCTTACAGAGGCGGCATGGTGCAGACGGGAGAACAGTACGAATTCATCCACCGGGCGCTGGCGCTGTTTGAGCGTTCGCTGCCCCCGGAGGACGCTTAGAAAACACCAACCAATTAATCAACACACACACACACACAGTACGTCAATTACTCAAGGCCCCACAGTGCCTGGATCTCAGCAGCCCGTGTTGTCTCTTTTTATTTTTCTACCTCCTTTGTTTTGTACTTAGGCCAAACTAACTGATAAGTGTATAAAATATGTGCAGAGTAAAAACGCCTCCCCTGTGTAGAAAAACCAAACTCAGAAAATCTGATTAAGTCGGTAAGAAGGAAGCAAAAAATAATCTAAACAAAGTCGGTCTCAGACTCTCAAAATATATCTATTTTTGTGTTGGTAATTCAATAAAGCTTGGGGCAGTTGAAGTGAGCCAGATTCCTCGGAGTGACGTTTCCGCCCTGCTCGGCGGCCACGGCCCTCAGGTGCTCCAAAAGGGGCGTGGTCACCTCTGCGCCGAGGGCAGACCCGATGCCGGGCAGCTCCGGGTGGTGCAGGCGCGCCACAAACAGGTAGAGCGGCTCGAAGGTGGCCATCGGGATGCAGGCGGACGCGCCCTCTGGCTCGGAGGTCAGCGTCTCGCACACCAGCACCATCGTCTGCAGCGGCGACTGCAAGCAAAAGTTGAAAAAATTAATTAAGAAAATTTTGAATTTTCCATCATCCATACATTTTCTGAGACCTAAGGCCATAAATCTTTAAACCTTCGAAAGGTGGTGAAATTTTATTTTTGTTGTAATTTTTCTGATTCTTGCACAAAACATGAAGTCCAATTAATAGGAAATTTAATTAGCTTTAAAAACCTCTCAAAGATTATTGGATAATTTTTGGCGCCAGAACATAAGAAAACGTCATTTTTTAGCTTTCCCTTTGTTATATCTTTGCTTGCTTAGGATTTGGAAGAAAATTTTAATTACAAAAAGTGTGGAACATTAAATTTTCTACAAATTTTGTCTGAAACATTTCTCTCTCAAATGATTTCCGTAAGAGCTAGAGCGAAAAAACCTTAAAAAAAGGACGAAATTTCAACCTTTCTTAAAACATTAAAATTTTTGGGCGCCAAATATTGTCTGATTTAAATAAACTTGATCAAGATTTGAAAGCTAATCAAATTTCCTATCGATTGACGTTGGTCTCATGTTGTGCAAGGAATAGAAAAATTAATACAAAAAATCAAACCTTACAAAAAAAGGTGAATTTTTACCTCTCGGAAGGGTAAAGCAGTGAAAATAACCTTTGGAAATATGATCTCTCAAATTTGGAATTAGTGTTTGCACCTGTGAGATGATTCCACTGGCGGCGGCGACGACGTGGAGCCAGGGGGCCTCCCTGTGGTGGGGGTCGGGGGCGGCGAGGGCCCAGACGGCGTCCAGGGCGTCGGCGCCGAGGCAGAGGCCCTGCCAGCGGCGCTCGAGGTCTCGGCGCTGGACGTCGGGGCGTCCGGCCTGCTGGCGGTGGACGACCTTGAGGTAGCCGGGGGTGAGGCCGCCGGGGGCGTCGAGCGGCGGGAACTCGAGGCGCTCCTTGACGGGCGGCTCGAGGCCGACGGCCAGCGCGCCGAAGTAGGCGGCGGCCCAGCGCAGCAGGTCGTAGGGCTGCGTGCGGATGGCCGCCTTGGTGAACTCCTTGAGGATGCGCGGCAGCGGCGGCGGCACCGCCAGCCGCTGCGACGCCAACCGCTCCTCCTCCTCCTGCGTCTTCAGCCGCGGGAAGACGCGCTGCACCCCCCTGCCCCCAGCCTCTTCCTCGGACAGCACCATTCCCTGTAAAATTTCCGCCAACATTCGTTTTAATTAAGTACACGTGAGGGAAGAATTGAAAGTTCAAATTTATACTTGTGGGAAATTTCCAAATTAAGTTTTTCCTCAAAATTTGATGAAAATTTTACCAAAATCTAATTGACAAAATCAATAGGTATAAATAAATATTGATCTCGTAAGAAAAATGTTCGCAGTTGAACTATTTTCAATGATATTGTAGGAAATTTTTTGTTGCGTTTTTAAAGTGCCTCGAGTGTACCTTTTGAAAAATGTGAACCAACCTTCAAATAGGCGACAAAAAGATGAGAGAAGTAGATCGGGTTGTCCCTGGCAAACTGGTAATCCCACATTCGCACCCCCTATTGATCACCGCGCGTTCGCTCCGTGTTTGGCTCAAGAGTAGTCATGGTAACATCGCCGTGAAATTTGAACAGAGACTTTGCATAGCCAGCGACTAGAGAGACCTAAATATAAGAATAAAACGCTTCGGCCTTCAATATTAACTCTAAATTTGTATATTTTATATATTTTCTTGTGAAATATGGAGAAATTCGTGGTGAATAAGGCGAGAACTATTCAGAAGTAGTTAATTCAGAGGAGCGTCGCAACAAAATTATGTTGAAAAGATTCAGTAAATACGAGGCACTTTTTTAACATGAAAGTCTCAAATTTTCAACGCAAGAAGCAGCATTCAATTGTTCAAATTTTTAATTTATAAATGAATATTTTTTTACATTTCCTTCATCAGATAGCGCGACAAATGCCAATTATAATTCAAATTTGGTCCATATAAAGTCATCAGATTTTTAATTTTGATGCAATAAAGACAAACATTCAGTTTTGTTTTGATTAAAGAAATTCATTTTTATAATATTAAATTATATTGTTTAAAAAGGAAAATATATTTACGGTAAAAAAATAATCATAAATAGCAATAATTGATTAATCATATTTTTGAAAATGAATCATTTTGTTGAAAATAATTGGTTTTATGAAAATTATTTGCTAAAATGTTTTTAGTAAAAACAGAATGAAAGTGGAATAATTCAGCCCCTGTAATTTCCTGAATTTTTCACTATATTATATTTTGAAGTATTTTGCTGAAGAGTTTTCTTACTGAGATCAATTGATGAAATTTCGGAAGTTTCAAACGTTTTTAATCGGATGCAGCAAACAATTCTGCATGATTTGGTCAAGTGGCACGCGTGGTTGGCGCTTAAAATTCGAATGGAGACCTTCGGAAGGATCGCCGAGGTGGCGCCTCTGGCGGCGAGCGGCGCAACCGCTAATTGGAGGCGGACCCTGCCTAAAAGAACGAAATCGAATTCGGCCGCGCGACACGATCGGACGAGAGATGCCGAAATGGAGCTGAGCGCCGACGCCGCCCTGCAGGAGGCCATCGGTGAGTGTCGGGGGTGGCGCCGGGGGCGGTGGGGGCGGCCGAAACGAGAGGCGTGCGCGGTGCTCATGCACGATCGGCGGTAACCTTTCTCGCTCATCGTCCTCAAACCTCCTGGAAAAAGGGCGAAACAAGAAAGCGATATGCGGAAAAGATTTGAATGCTGGGGTTGTTTTCAGGGGTCGACCCTTCTTCAGGGGCACGCTTCGGTGGAGGGGGAAGGCACTGTTTCCCGAAAGGTCCAAAATACTAAAAAGTTAATTACATAATTTCGTTCTGCGTGCAATTTTGCCAATTTTGTTCCGCCTGCCATGAAGGATGAAGCAGTAAAAATTGTGGAGTTTAAAAAAGAAATTAAAGAAAAAACAATTAAGTATTTTAATTGATAAAATTAGAATAGGGGTAATTTATGGGACTAAGGAAAGGTTGAAGAGCATTAATGAATAATTTTGATTTAAATAAAATAAAATTTTGATCTAAAATATCAAAGGACGAAAATTTAAATTTAGTACTTTTTTCTATTTTTTAATTTCTAAGAAGAAAGATTCATTTGCAATCGACTGAGTGTTTAAAAAGTGAGGCCTGCGCGACCTTGTGAGTTGCTCTCGTAATTATCCGATCTGGCCATATCTCTTGACAATGCATACAATATCCAGATGCCAACTTAAAGCGGCGCTCAACAAAATTTCTTTTCAACTTTGTCAAAGATTGATTGTTGGCGATCGATTTTGGCTCTTTCTCTCGCATTGTTGCGTGTCTCCCTAATGGAAACGAAAGTCCTTTCAAAAAGCCCAACAATAGCTTTTCTAGTTCTTTTGTCGAATTCCATTGTGAAAAATCCGCTTTGTTTTCCGCGACTTTCGTCAACAACGATGATTAATTTGTCGAAAACAAGAAACTCGTGTGATAATTTGTGTGTTGCGCGTTTTCGTATATAAAAGGGCGGTCAATTTAATTATATCTGCAGGGGGATGATTGTGTCATTCACTCGCGCGCGCAGGCCACCCCTTTCATCAGGGAGATTTCAACACGCGACAAGCCATTTAATTAATTAATCTAAAAATAAACATCATTTTAGCCCCAAAAACCCAACGATTTCTTACAAACAATTCATTCTCAAGGCAAATCAAGCTTTCTACAAATTCATTTAAAAATTGATCCCAAATTTAAAACGGTTTTTTTATGTTCAAATGAGAAAAATCTTTATGGTTTGAAATAGGAATTTTTATTTTATTTCGAACCGATATATCTTCAATTTGTATTTAATGAAAGAGATAAGCTGAAAAATTTTATATTTTTAAGCTAATATATTTGTTAAAAGAAACATTGGAAATAACAAGGCTTTTTTTAATTAAAAATTGGAGCAAATTTGTGCAAAAAAATGTTTATCTTGAGGATTGTTTCTTTCTAAAAGGTTTATCAAATTTAACTCTACAGTTCATTAGATATGAAAAATTACAAAAAAATTGAATTTTAATATTTTGTGTTATTAAAAAGAAAAACATTAAATTTATATAATAAAAAAAAAAACATTTAGCTTTCTTTCTTTCGATATAATTAGATTATTTTCTTTCAAAGAGACTGGAGTTTCATGAAAATTCTTTGATTAGAAGAATAATTAAATTGTTTTGAGTTTTCAGCAAAATTTTTCGTCGCGTTTTTTCAGATAACACAATAAACATGAAAATGGGTTGTATTATAACAATAAAATTAACACCGAAAAGTTATTCATTCTTCATGTAACTAATGGCGACAAGTTTTGTTTAGCTGGGGGACGAGAAAAAATTAACGAAATTTCGTCCGAGCGAAGGGGTTGGGGGAAAGAATTCATATTATACATTTTGGTAAAATTTATTTTGCCGGCGCGCATTTAATTTTTAATTGTTAATCTGGGCACGCGATTCGGATTCGAGACAGGCCGTAAATAAAACGACATGCGACTTCTCAGCGCGCGTCCCCATAATAATAATAATGAAATCGCTCATCATGCAAATTATTGTTTTGTTCACCAACGACCGCCCCCTCCATTATTGCCGCTGTTGGAATTCAAAAACTCAATTATACACGCAGCAACCCCAATAACGGTCGCTTCTTGAATTTTTTATAGTAAAAAAAGAACAAATCAATCAAATTTCCTTTAAAAATTTCAACATTTTTATTTCTTTATTTTGATTGAATTTGCTAAAATTCATTGTTTAGCATAAAAAAATGGAGTTGGTGGAAAAGAATATCGACCAAGGGCAGAAAAAATGGAATGTATAAAGCGATGGAAACGATAAAAAACGTCTCCATGGCGCTGTGGCGATATGGGAAATAAAATAAATCACGGAAGCATTTAACGAACAAAAAAAAATGTATAACTCGGGTAGTTTTTTCCGACGACTTCGATTTCCGTTTTTATTCCAACCGACATGGAACATTTTTGCCCGTTTCATTCACGATTCATATGGAAATGCTGTCGTCGCACAAGAAGGAATTTCAAATTCGAATCTGTTTGGCGAGCGTGAGGCTCGCGTCAGCCACGACCAAGGCGCGAGCGAAAGTATCAAGAGTGGAAAAAAGGTGGCCGTGGGAAAGAAAATCTCGACCCACACACGCTGATTAATCGCTAATGGCCGCGGATAATAACTTCTTACCTCAGAAATGTCCATCTGCAGACAAAGTTCTCGGCGGCGATTTGAAAATTTCAGCCAACAATGCGTCAATTTCACTGCAAATGTGACAATCGGGAATTTCTTTGAAATTTTTATTGTTGCAATAATTTTGTTCAATCTTTTCGTTCTATTTAATTTTTTTGTAAATTCTGCTAGGCTCAAATTTGAAAGAAAACATCAGAATTTTTTCTATTTATAAAATTTTCAACATTACAGGAGATTTAAAAAAAAAAACTTCAATAAAATTAATTATTTCGGCTCCCGTTGGTCCTAGAATAAAAATCTGGATGCGACTGAATTTGTCTCGTCGATCTCTACAATTGGAAATTAATATCAAGGTCAAAGGTTGAAGTTCAAGTTCATTCATTTCAAAATCAAAATCTTTAATCATATTTCAGTACGTGTATTAGACTAAAAGTCAAATTTAACTTACCAATTCGATTCCTCGTGAAATTTTACGTAACATAAATATGTCAATATTACATTATGATCATTTTTATTCAAATTTATCAAAAAATTCAAAGATTAAAAAACGCGGATTTTTGCCCCAGCGTGGATTTTATAAAATCGTTGATAACTTGATTAACGTTGGTTTTAGACAAATGTTGGTAATGACAAAACATGTCCGTCTTGACCAGACCAATTGAATGTCGTGCATATTATTGACCTTAGGTGACCTTGGGTCAGAGGTCAGTGCGACCCTTGACCTTAAATGACCTGAACCATGAGTGTGATACATAGTTTGAAAGATCTTCTCCAGAGGATAGTTTTAGCCTTAAAAATTTTTGAAACTTTTCAATTACATCATTTACTAGGTCTTTTTTTGTTTAAAAAATTATTTTTGATTAATCAATTTTTTATTAATTTAATAAAATTTACTTTCAGGCCAATGGAAATTACTTTGCTGGCCCAAATATAATTGGGAAAATTTCAAAGCAGAAATATCAGATTTTAATTAAAATTTTAGCAGATTCATTTTTTTCATTTGCAAATATTATTGAAATTTCTAACAAATTCTTTTCCACAATTTCTGTTCACATGATCGCGTTTTTTGAGTCGACTTTTCTCTTGTTGTTCCGGAATGATTTAGATTCTCGTGTGCTTAATAGAAACTGCAGCAATATAATACAATAATTTAATGTAAAATATGGAAATCACGAGATGCATATTCAATTGAATTACGAGCGATTATTCGAAACTACCGTTCAGCCCTAAAACATCGCACGAGATGGAATCAAAGCTGCGCGATTTATAAATCTTGATTCAGCGCAGTTGAAAAACGCCCAGCGCAAGTGCACGTCTTTTATTTCTCGTTGCAATCGACAAGTGCGGGTCACGCATTTTGTTCTTGTTTATTTATTCACACGTGTTTTTTTTTTATTCCCTTCGACCGATGCACGACCCGGAAAACATTGTTTCCCTTCTTTGCTCCAATTAAAAGGCAAAAGAAAAGCTTTCTCTCGCGGAGCGAAATTAATTCATCACCTCGGAACGATTTCGTCTCGATTCTCTCCCAGGGTGTCAAAATCAAATTCTGTTATTAATGAGCATCACGCCGACAGCCGCGGCAATTTGTCTTTGCACGGAAACAATCTTTCAAATACATTTGATTGATTCAAAAAATAAATTAATTTAATACGGAAACAATCATGACAATTGCAAAAAGTTCAGGTATTAAAGTTTTTGATTAAAGAGGACGGAACCACCTCAGGGCAGCAAAATCCGCCACAAAAACTCTTAAAGATGGTAAACAGAAAATTGGCGTAAATTTTTGAAATATTTAAGGTTGAAGAATGTGGGTTTTTGCAATATTTTTTTTCCCGAGAAAATGAAGCTAATTTTTGAGCTCTTTAAGTTTAATTGATTTCTACTAATAAGTATCAGAATAGTTCATGATTTTGGTTCTTAAATTATCCAAGTAATGAAAAATCTGCATATTTTTAAAATTCCAGTATGACTGGAGATAATTAAGGGTTTCAAAATTAAGGTATTCAAAATTGAACAGCAAATAAATAATTAGAGGAATAAACATTTTATTTAAATTGCTAATGTGTAATAAATTCAATTAAAGTTATAAAGATTTACATAATTCCGTAATGATTGATTGATGAAAGAAATACAGTAAAAAAACTACTCAAACTTTCACTTTTATACCATGAATTAAAAATGTTTTGTTCGACCTGTTGACAATCGCAATTAAAACAAAGATAACGATCTGCGAAAGATTGGAGCGAGAAAACAAACACGGATACGTCGTTTAAGATAAGCACGCGTGTTTAACCTTTTTGTTGTTTGTGCGCGATTTGATCGTTGCATTATCCAGACAATTAGCGCCGCACTCGATGTCAC